GGCAAGGTATCTTCGGGAACGGACGGCGAGTTTGACATGGGGAGGACATTGGTCAAGTACAGGGCGGGATGGTATAGAAGCGGAAACCGGAATGGTTTAGGCGTAAAGAAAAAAAAAGAGGATTTAAGACTAAGATAGATGCCTAGAACTTGAGGAAGAAAGATTGGCGTCAGAAAGAATTTCCAACTATTTTGCATTCAAGGGGTGGGGGGAAGGAGTTATGGGGGGGGCACGTTTAGGCAGAGAGAGATCTTACAGGCTAGTAAAAAGCCGCAAATCGGTCAAAATGCCGGGGGGATGAAGAGTTCAAGGAGTTAAAGGGAAAGGGAGATGGGGAAGTTTGAGAGACACAGTCTTTGATCGTCACCGCCCTTGAGTGGATCCGATTAGGGGAAAAAAACAAGAAAAAAGATTAAAAGAAATTGATAAAAAAAAGATAAAAAGATGAGGATATTGATATTGATATTGGAAATAGAATAAGAGAGAAAGGAAAAGAATATAGAAGAAAGATGAAGTTATAAAAAAACGAAAAAGAAAAAATCTGGGTGGGGAGTTTGCCTCTTTCACTTTCTCACTTTATGCGAAGAATATACAGCTTCCTATAAGTACTACACGACTACAAGTCCAGAGGTACTTGGTCTATTGTGCAACGTCTTACAAAACTTCTCTTCTAACTAGTTGGATCTTTTGACCAGGGTTCCTAGTGTATTGAGATAAAACCAAAATTGTATATAACATTTGTTGAGTATTAAAGATCTTGAAATGATATACTGGGATTATAACAATATGTTGCACTCCATAGGGTTCATGAGATTTATACCTTGTGCTTCAAGCCTAAATATTTTCCATAGCATTTCTCAGGATCTTTATTTTGATTCCTATCTTTCTATGATCTACCAATCACCTGTCTCAATGCATAGTGTGCAGCCATGTCGATCGCTAATAGGTGTCCTTGATTCACCTCTGCTGACCTCTGTAACATAACATTTTAACATCTTACCTAGGTACTAGTAGCATCTTAATATCTTAATACCCGTTAAGCTCACAGACTAAAATGACTAAAATGACCAAGGCTTATATCTCCTTCACAGTATGTCCCCGATAAAGGAACTAAAGGAACTAAGGAACTAAACGAACTAAAAGGCCCATCTCAAATTAATTGCCCCCCACTTTCACAAGCCACGAAAAGGACCTTATCTCGAGGAAAAGAGATATCAACTGGTGGTACATGGCCAAGACGAAGCGGTATACTTTGTACGGGAATTAAAATTCTCAAAGCTGCTGCCTGTTTAGTATATTATCGACTCGGTACAATATCATCCAATAATCTCAGTATATATCTATCATCGGATGTCGGATGTTTGTAAAGTATTCCGACTATACATATACTATTGGAAGAATGAGAATGTCAGATAAGGTCATATTCCTATAGTCCACAAAAGCTTGGACATAAATAATAGATATTTACTCTGTAGTAATAATAAATATTATATATGTACATACCTGGTTAAACCAAGCTCGAACTACTCTGTTCCTAGTCAAAAACCAACAGCGGCTAAGTGTGATTGTGATGGGATAAAAGTGATTGGGAGCCGAGCGGGTCGTGATCCAACCAGAGTCCTCGACGAGGTGAAGAAGATGCATTAGGGGCCAACTACCAACCAGGATGACTTTTTCAACGAACCAGCTTCGTCGTAGAAGAAAAAGGAGAGGAGATCCCCGCAGACCTCTGACTTTTGTACTCCCCGCTTACAAGGCTCCTATGGTTTTTCACTCCTTAGTTCGATGCCGGCTTCCTTCCACCATGCGCCTTCATTCACACTTGAGGCCTTATAGCCACTGGGGACCTTATACATCCCATTTTCCACTATCGATCGCATGTTCCTTAGCAAGTACTTCTTTTCCTAATACCCATGTTGATCCCCGTGAGAAAGCCGTTGAGTCGCGTGTCATACATCTTCCCACTTTCAATTATCTACCTTGCGATCAACTAAATCTACTATTTCACTCTGGAAGAATCGCGATTAGAGTTATACCTATTCATTTGAGAACCGGTCCACGAGAAAACTTACCGTCTTGACTTGAAAATGAGTCGCTTGAACGTGGACACTACAGTAGGAGGAAACCACCAGAGATATTCATTTATGGAAACACCTCTCGAAATGCACCCATCATCCTACCAACGGGACCTAGCCTCACCTCCGCCAGACCAGAGTGGGCCCCCGCCCCATCCCGCAGCGGAAGAACCCCCGAAAGAGCACCAGCGAGCGTGGTCATATGCGCCGAGTGAGAAGGAGCAATTTCAGCATCAAGGAATAATCCCAGATTATGCAAACTGTCCGCCCATCGAGCAGCACCCGGCCAATTATGCGCCTTTGGTTCATAATCAGCAGCAACAACAACACCAGCAACAACAACAGCAACAGCATAACACTTCAATTTCTCCTCAGTTGTACGCAGTTGCGCCCGAGCACCAGCAACACGCCACTCAAGCTTATACCCAATCCAATACCAGCCAGTCGTATACAAACATAGCCGAACAACAAAGTCACATGTCTCCTCAGGCATATACGACTCAGTCGTATACAAACATACCAGAGCAACAGCAGCATCAATGGCATCAACAGATCGGCATGACCATATCCCCTCAGTATGCGAACGTACCTGAACAACAACAGTACAGCACCCCAATGTCTCCCCACTCATATGCGAGCCATCCATATGCAACGCAGTCATACACCCACCTCCAGGACCAACAGCGCGGCATCGAAATACCCACCCAGCAATATGCCTCGTATGATGAACCTCCCAGCTCACCACCCCCGAACTCACCAGGGCCACTGCCCCTGAAAGTAAACCCCGAAGCTCCACAACGGAGCGAAACCATGCCCATTGTTCCGGACGAAAACCCCTTACAGTCGCCCAAATCGCCGTATTTCCCTCCACCTACCAGAGCGACCACATCCCACCCTGCCCAACCAGATGACCTGAGCGCATATCACCAGCCCGGCCAAACCACCCACCCAAATCAGGAGATCAAGGGAGGAGGATGGAGCAACGGACTGTGTGAATTTTCGAATTTCGGAATCTGCTGCCTGGGACTGCTATGTCCGTGTATTTTGTATGGGAGGACACAACACCGACTCTCGATGAAGTCGAAGAAGGAAGACCCGACCAATATGCTCGGATACGAGACTTGCAATGGTTCATGCACGGGGATGGGACTGCTATGCGGATGTCAATGTAAGTCCAAGTCCAGTTCGAAGGTCGAGTGAGGTCTAAAACATCGCGACCGATCAATCCACAAAAGAGAGTACCATTCTAACAGCACAACAGGGTTAATGGCCACAATCCAACACACCAGAACGAGAAAGGCATATGGCATCCAAGGTAGTATCGCATCGGACTGTGTGCGGGCGACCTGCTGTACATGCTGCACATTGATTCAGGACGAGAAGGAGATCCAGAAGCGTGAGGAGTATCGATCTCGCGCGGCTAGGGAGCGGAGTGCGACTATGCTCTCGCCGTATACTACTCCTGGACCGATGTCGTATGGCCCACCGCCGAGGTAATGCGCTATATCTAGTGAGGGAGCAGGATTTGATAACATGGAGTTGTGTATATAGTCTATGCATTATGATGTAATAGCGTTCGTTATTTGATGTGTCGAGTTTTGTACTACGGAGTATTCCGTAGCTTGTCAGCTTTGCCAATTTATCATGTATAGGCGCGAGAGCGAGAGCGAGAGCGAGATGTTCACTTTGAAGATTTCAAGGTTAGGGCTGATTATTACGTAAATCTATTGCTTTGGTTTAGTTAACTAACTAGTTAATGCTACAGATAATTGTACGGAGTATGCCGGTGACATTTCAAATTTGATCTATCATATTCCAACCTACGTCGTAAACAGGCATGGCGAGGGGTGACTACAGAGTGCTTGACCTGGTTGGGACACGCAGAGAACAGAGAACAAAAGCAGAGTAAGAATTGATTATTTCCAGCGGAATCAACCAGAAAATCCATCTGTTCATCTCCAAGTGCTCATTTTACCTCCATTACATCGAACTCCATCGCCAGCTCCACCCAGCGTTAAAGTTCTGTAATTAATAGTCCATCCCATTCGATTTACTGCACTGCGTATGTTTCCGAGGCAAGCATGAAATCATTAAATTTCTATATAATACCATTAAGAGTCTCGCCCACCAAATATCAAACCAAGACCCGCAGGTATACCGTATACGGGAAACTCCAAACGATGGCAACGGGCGACCCAACAGTTTACAATAGAAGGCGAAATAGTAATCGCCACCCGGGGATGTGTCATATCAATAAACCCAAGAGAGATCCCACGATCCCACGATCAGGCAAACCGCATTGGCGGGTTTTCCAACCCCGATCTCACCAAGGGGATGGATCGATACGTCACGATGATCCACCAAGTGGCTCACCAATTCTCTGAAAGGTCTACAGAGTACTTTGTACATGATTACCAATGTTAGCCCCTCAGGTATCAAGCTAGCCACCGCAATATGCAAGGCGATGTACTGAAGAGGCGCATGTGGACCGTAGATTTATCCCTGTCGCATCCACGACACCTAATGCATTGATTGGCAACAGCGGACTCGGGATAGTTCCTAGAGGCTGTTGTACATGTGGAAATGTCTTCCCCAGAAGATGGTAACAGATATAGCTTATGTTGTTCCTAGAGTAGGGTTTGGCTACTTGGAGATCATGGGCGTTGATTGGCTACTATGCAAGGGTGGAATATATATCGACCTAGTAGCAACTGTCGCTGGAGAGCAGTCATTCTTCTAAGGTTATAAGGTTATGTTCAAGATATTAGAGTTAGGTGATGTGAGACCTGTTCATTTCTTTCTTTTGGAGTTTTGTTTGATTCACTTCTGTGTATATATTCGATCTGGGATTCCTGTATCGCGCTGGCATCAGTGCTTCCACTCATTTGAGAAGTCACTCTCTATTACTTCGTCGATACGTGCAATATGGCGGATTCAATGGCCCAGAATGTTCATGGCTATGACCATGATAACTTGCGCCATGTGGTTATCACTTCTACTTGCTTTGCTTTCATCTTATCCACTACCGCAGTTGGCTTTCGTATAATCTCCCGAGCGATTAATGGAAGTGGTCTTTTTTTGGATGACTGGCTCATTATTCTGGCATTAGTAAGAAGCACGTATCGAACGTTTATATGTCAGGGCTAACCTTTGCAAACAGATCTTCGAATATGGTATATCAATCGCAGGAGTTGTCTGTACGTTGAGATGATTCACACCTAAACCAGCCATCACCTAACGGATCACAGTACTATACAATGGTCTCGGAACCCATATCGCCGAGCTCTCCCCCGAACAGATCATTGTCTACCTAAAGGTATGACATTACATTCGTATCGCTATGAAACGCACATATAGATCATGCACTGATAGACCCACAGACACTGTTTACAGGCTCGATACTCTACACCGGCTGCATTGCAAGTATCAAACTATCCATCCTGATGCTGTACCGCAGACTCTTTCCCGTCAAGACCATGAAATACGCCGTCAATATTGTATCTCTGATTGTGATCCTATGGGCTGCCTGCGGTATTCTCGCAGGTTGTTTCACCTGCATCCCAACAGAGAAGCTATGGCACCCCATGGTAGAAGGTGGTTGCATGAATCTATCAAAGTTCTACTACGGTCTTCAGATTCCCAACATCGCGACGGATGCAATCATCCTCCTGATGCCCATGCACATTGTGTGGAACCTTCCCATCTCCAAGGCACAGAAGTTGGGTCTTTCTGGGATATTTATTCTGGGATTCTTGTAAGTTTTGTCTGCTGTTTATATGCTAAGCATTTCCCTAACATAAGGCAGAACTTTAATTTTCGATATCATTCGTCTGGTCGTCCTGATCGAGCTTTCCACTAAGGGCGACGATATTACCTGTACGCATAATTCCCTCTCAAGTCACATATATGAGAACTTACTAATAACACTCAAACAGATAATGAAGTCCCAGCAAGCGTGTGGACATGTATCGAGCCCGCCGTTGGAATCGTCGCAGCGTGCCTGTCGAATATGCGGCCTTTGTTTAAGGTCATGCACACCAAGGTTTGGTCTAGGCTTTCTAGCCGATATGCCACCAACGCGAGTAATACAAGCGATTCACAGATTAATGAGAAGGGTAGCTGGCTGCGAAAGACCCCTAGCCCAACCGGCGAAGGGAGTATTTCTCCCAGTGCTAGTGGGAATTTGAACCAGTCGCCGACTCAAACCCAGTCTGCTGTGTAAAACAGAGGCTAAAGCTATATACACCTATACGGATACGAGTTTTTCTTTTGTCATTCTACGAACGGAGGAGGTATTACTTCATTCATTTAGCCCCTCGTCATTCTTTACATACAAGGAAGCCACGATCGCTTTGTGAGCACCTTCCATGAGTTCACCAGGAGAAAACTAAGACAAAGAATTCAAACAATACTATTGTATTTTGTCTAAGTCACCACCCAATCGACAAAGCCATTGACTCGGTACAACTGAGAATACCAAAGACATGAAAGAATGAATTAAATAACTGGCCGCTTGAAGAGAAATGGATCACAGCAGAACAAAGGCTTTTGTAGCTTTGGGTATCTTTCTTTCTCTACTAAGAGACCTTCAATACATAGCGTAGATAGTGATTGACCAGAAATCATAAGTAGCTTATATTCCAGCAATTTCCCGAGTAGATCAATCAAGAAACTCACATTCAAACCTCCAAGAGCAAGGTCCGAACTTTTGATCTCTTTCAGTTGTATAAATTCCAAATCGCTGACAACCAAAAACTAATTAAGTCCAGTTTTCACCCAAGTTACTTGCAAAAATAATGTCCCACCGCGAGCAATTGCGCTCACCATATCAGAGAACCTTCCAAAAGGAGTGTCGCGCCTTTGTAAAAAGGGCAGAGGCTACGGCTAATCATGCCAGGAAATACCCGGACAACCATGAAATAGAGCCTAACAGCGGGGTTTACAAAGGACTTGTAAGTTTATTATGGCGAATAGCACGAGTAAAAGACACAGGACTTGATATGGTCGCAGAGACCCCAAGATGCTCTCTCGTTCTCAAACAACGCAGCTATTGGTTCATCCAGGATCTCGCTGATCAGACAGAGTTTGAAGATGAATGCGATGATATAGAGGCCCATCTATATGGTCTGATGCAAAAGGTTCAAGACTGCGAGATAGAGCATCTTTGGGTTGCTGAGTTTCTTGAGTTTACGTCTTTGCGTATCCAGGATCAATTTCATGTATAGATGTGTCAATGGAAGTGAGATATTTTGTTGGAATGTGCGTGAGTACATTTGTAGTATGGATCTAGCCACAATGACACCTTCGGGGCTCAATGGTGGTCCCTGATATGATCAAGCATTATCGTGACTTTACGCTGATCTTCTTTTGAATATCTAAGTAGGCACCCTTTTTAATGTCACGCGGAGCCCAGTCGACAACGTCTTTTTTTACATCCGAGTACTTATATACTGGCATGAATTTCTTTACGGTAGGTAGTATCCGTTGGGTCCACTGATAGTGTTGTAATATGACCACCGATTTAAATAACATTATTTGAATAAGCTCGGCTATGAATTCTCATTGAGCTTTCCAAACTAGAAATTGTACCTGTCAGCAAAGCTACCCGGGTCTACCAATTTCTTCGCTCGGAATCGATGACATCCAAAAAACACCTCGGTTTAAGACAAATGAGAGAAAGCTCTGACAGTGAACTGAAAGATATTAAACCAATCTCCCTACCCCCTGAACTACGTGAGTGAACTCAAGATCCTAAGTGATATTTAATTAAATTGAGCAAGGAAAACATCTCTTACGAATCAATAACGTTGTTGGAGGCACCCCAAATAGCGAAGCTCATAATCGATTCACGTTGAATGAGTTGATCTTTTACGCATATGAGTACGTCCACAAATTTCGTTCCACCGAGAGCAAACCTATCTACGTGCACTCCGAACGTATATAGATTTATAAACCTGTTCGATGGAAACATAAGCTATGCAGTTTAAAGGGGCGGCCAGATTATTCTACTTGGTACGGCGATGAAGAAAAAAGTTCTGTCAATGTCATTGCCATTGAAGCGAAGTCCGATTCTGGGGTTTCACCAGGAATTCCGCCAGCATTGGGTTACGTAGGTAAGTTGCTTTCAACTTCCCTACTACTATATATATAGGGAGACTGACTTGTCTGAAGGTGCTGTTCATCGTCACAGGAAGGAGCAGAAAAAGCAGGATTATACATGCTTTATCCCCAACTCACTTGTCGTAGAGCTGGCCTTTCTTGGGCTTTGTTGAATTGTTGAAAACTTAATTGCCATTCCGGTCTTCTGTGTAAAGAGATCCTCAGAATGCAACGTTTTCTCCCTGTGTTTTTGTCAGACGTCAGCGGTCGGTGGCTCGGAGCATTATAGTCAAGATCACTTGGCGGCGCCAAGTACGTGGATATCTTCATGAGAGGAAACAAAACATACAAAGTCTGCGGTATCTCCCTGAGCTGCATGGATTGTTTGTATCAAGTTGGAAACAGATCTAGGCGGGTGCCTGACGTTGCCTTTTAGAATCTCTTGGGCCGAAATGCGCTCCCCATAAAATTTCTCGTTCTCGTCAAAGCGCTCAACGATGATCGTACCGTCCAATGCGACACCGGCATAGAGACCTTTGCTCTTCATATAGGTCAAGATTGGCGCCTGTCGCTTATGAACCTCGCTCTCAACCATTCCTCCCATGCCGACCGGGCCAGCGGCGACACTCAATTCACCACCAATTGTACAACGGACTTTCGTAAACGCCTCCAGCGCCTCGTATGTATTTATGACCATGACGCAATCGTAAATGTCCACACCAGCCAAGAAGCCAATGCCAGCGGTATGTAGGAGGATACCGGATGGCGGACTCCACTCATTAGTTCCGGGAATGCGTCCCAGCAACACTCCACTACCTCCGGCGCCGCTAAACCACAGACCAGTGCGCATGGTGGTGAAGATAGCTAATCCCTTTGCATTCTTGATAACATGTTGCGGTATCTTGTTGATAACACGTTGTTTGCTTTTGGGGCGATTGATCTTGCCATTTTCATCGGTAGTATTCTGGGATTCGGGGGCGTAAAAGCCATCTTTACAGAAGCTGCGAATGATGCGTGCAGCTTTCTCGCTCTCTTTGTCGATGGACATTGGCCAGAAGGCCTCGGCACCTAGTCTGTTGGAGAGACGATTCACGGGTGGGCCCAGCTTGTCGAGAGTGTCCCATGCTTTATCGAAGCCCAATTTTGAGTAGCGCTTCGTGTCTTCCCAATAATGAACCATATTGTCACACGGCAGAGAACACTCGATGAATTAGACAAAGTTACAAATTAGGATCCAGTAGCAATAGACTGTATGGGATGTATGCTGGAAATTTCAGCGTAAGTTGAGATTGCGATAATTGGAGTTGAGATTCAGTTTTCGTTAAGAGACAGAGCAAGGGTTATAAATATTGGTTTTGAACAGCAGACAAAAATAGAAGATAGGCAGCATCATAACGAGACAAGGCTGATATGTATTTAGACCTAAGAAGTGTAATAAGTGGATCCCACCTTTATTAGTTCTAGTCATCCTCTCGTATTCGTACTCCGTACTTATAAGCTATAATCTCATCGAAGCAAATACAAGGCAACAATTTCAGTAGCGAGTTTTCCCCGGGTTATACCTCAGATTTTTCTTGAGTGTGAAATGTTAATCTCTTAAATATGCTACTACAGCGTTCCTAGCCAATCACAAATACATGATTCACGAATGAGAGAATGAGAAGGATTCCAAATTATTTGTCGACTACGTTAATATATCCATACTATCCAGGTACTTGGTATGGCTAAGCGCTATATTATATTGAATAGTATAGGTTCAACTAACCTAATATATCAGGCTCATACCATTGTCGAATATTCACTTGACCCCGATTCTGAAAAGCATACTAAATTTAAGCCTTCATTGTTATATCACTAGATAGAGTTTTGATTTTTATATGTACTCCAAATATCACACCAAGTTCGACAGAATTATTTATGGTCATATCAACTCAACACTACATTCATCGCTGGTACATCCATGGCCACTGATATTTTGGGGATATCGATTGGAGTCCAACTATTCAATCGATTGGCAGGCCCTGGGTCTTAATTTGATGGATCTCGTTTCTGATCGGGAACTGTATGATTGTAGCGGTTTGCGGAATCGTGAGCGAGTGCTTCGCTGTATGACTGCTATCAAGGCGAGATTTCTCGAAATGTCATGAAGATAGGAAAAATTGCTGCAGTATGAGATGAATCGCTATTTTGGTATACTGGACTCTGATCTCTTCCTACAAAAAGAATGGGTTGTATTTCCTACATTTTGAAAAAGAATGTCATATTTATTAACAAGCTATATGGCCTTGTGGTAACAGAGGCAAATGTGAATTCAGTTATCCCTTGTTACATTTCAATTTGGTGATCTGCACTAATCACGGATAAGGTACTAGGTACTTACCATAGCGCATAATAAGCCGCATACTGCTAGGTACCGGGTACTTAAAGTATACCGAAGCATAAACACAGCCATTTTGAGGCCCAGGCAACGCCTTCGCGCCTAGGTATGGATTTCTATTTTCCACACAGGCGTGGTTACAGTGCACTCGAACTATTAATAGTAAATTATATGAATCCATATGTACGGAGTGCTGCATCTATGAAGGAAGCGCCAAGATAACCTAATTGTATCCCGGCGCCCTAACCCACACATGACCCGCATGGACGCCAAAGCTCCGATAAAGGCGCCCCTTCAGAGGCGTTTTCTCCCTTTTTTTGGCTTTTGCCTGAATATGCTCTTTTGAGCTTTACAAAATTTTATAGGATTTACAAGCTGCACCATAAACCAACATGCGCGGTCTCGACGAAAGCACCGACGTCTTTTTACGTACTGGCCAGAAAGCCCAGGAGCAAGTGCGACATGCTTGGGATGGATTTATCAATTTCGCGGCGCGGGATAATGTTCTCGAGGTTGCGTTGGGTTTAATGTTAGTTCTCCCTTTCGCTTAATGACCTAACACTCAAAGTGCCTGAGAACTACTTTGCTAACATACATATCACTTAAAGTATAGCGAATGCGTTCACGAAAGTCGTCACGTCTTTCGTATCAGACATGGTTCTGCCAATCGTCTCTCTACTGCCATTTCTGAACCGAAACATGGATCAGAAATTCGCCGTCCTCTCCAAGGGTCCGAGTTTCGACCAGCAGTATGGGTATAATACCCTTCGCCAAGCCAGAGAGGATGGAGCACTGGTTCTGGCTTATGGGTATGTATAGTTACCTACCTCGGCTACTAATCGAACGTATTCTATCGGTCAGTTTTGACACAGATTTATGCAGAGTGTTTCTTGAGACAGTTCTCAACTTCCTGGGTGTCAGCCTTACTCTGTACGCGGTCGGACATTTGTACATGTGGATCTCTCACGACAAGATCATCAAGCCTACTGTCCGGTGTCCATACTGCAAGCAGTATATCGGTAAATCGGTAAGTGGTTTGATCGGATGTGTGTTTTACCTCGGCTAATTGCCCAAAGGCGCTTCGCTGTCGCCATTGCTCAACGTGGCAAGATGGAAGGGAAGATGAGCCTAGGAGTGATAAGAGTTCTCGGCAGGAACTGGCTGGCGCCGAATCGAGTATCGTTGGAGGAACTCCCTAGGCGGTACTAGGTGATGGCGGATTTACGAGAGGCACAGGCACGGCGATAAGGCAGTTGCAGCTTAGCGAGTCGGGTTATGCACGAGTGGATAGTTTGATTTCTGTTATATTTTTCAAGGGCTATGTAAAGTACAGATGAATTGGGATTTTAATTAAATGTACAAGAAGCTCTATGATGCAGACGCCAAGAATGCTAGATAAAATCTAAATGTTTATACCTCTAAATCGACCACCACTCAAATTCAGTCATATCCTGTACCGGCAAAGTATGTTGCTTGCGGCGCCACGTCCTGCGGGCATGTTTGGTGAATTGCTCTGGGGGAGACCAGGCTGCCTCCCAGGTCTGAGGTTGTCTGAGAGTAGTTTTAGATTGTAGAATTCCAAAGCGGAAATCAAGTGCATCGACGGTGCCTGCAGGAGACGGCAGTCGCATGTAGTAGCGGACGCTGTCAGGAATCTCCTCGGCCACATGACTAGTCATGATCAAGGCTTGATCCTCCGAGAGACCAGTCCACCGGAATTTCGACTCCATTAGAGAACGGGGTTGAGCATTAAGGGCACGGCGTTTAGGTCTCTCACCAATCTCCAAGAATTGCAAGCACCTGTTACGCTGTGCTGCAGATAGACCCGAGAAAGCTTCGTCGAGGATAACAATGTCCGGCTTGGCGACGATTGCCCGGAGGAAAAGCACAATACGTTGTTGCGCGGTGGTAAGCTCACTAAAGAGAATCTCATCCGCGTACCCAACAACGTGGTCCATTAGTGCATATGTTTCAAGCCTGACGTGAGTCCGTTTCGTCATGATCGGTAGGCCCGCAGTCGATATTTTTGGCACCTCACTCGTGGTGTAATTTGGATCGAGCAGCGGTTTGAAGAAATGCAGGGCTGCAGATATGTCTTGATCTCTTTCAATGTTCAGCTTTGGCTTTGATAGGAAGGTCTCGGCGAAGGCAGTCTCAAGCGCTTCGCGAATTGATAATTGACGCGGGAAGAACGCATGGATCTCCGGTGATGAGTGCCCAATGCGGGACTGAAGTTCAAAGATTGAAATTCCTGGTTGACCAGGTTCCGGAAGCCTGGATCGTCCGAAATGTTTGACGGGCTGTCCATACGCCTGCGGGTGGTCGGATGTGATCATTGATAGTAATGTTGTCTTGCCTGACCCATTGGGACCGAGGATCGCCCAGCGTTGCCCCCGACGAACTCGCCAGTGTAGCCCATCTTTCTTTTCGCCATTCACATTCTGCTGCCATCCACCGAGTACTACCTTGTCTCCATACTGGACATGAACTCCTTCCATATCAATGACCGGCTCTCCGCCCAATGGCGCCTGGACTTCTGAGGACTTTATAGCATTCGTATGCGCCACCAAATCCGTAAGTAGTTCTTGGTCTAAGACACCACCCTTCAAGTCTGCTTTACATTTCTTCAATATTTGTGTTTGCTCTTCGGACAGAGAGTCTGGCTTAGACTTATTTGCAACGTAGCTCCAGACATTGAGCGTGTCCTCGATAGCCGGCCTTGGCCCTTGCAGGAGAACCTTGTGGGAATTACCCACAACCATAATGTGCGTTATCCAGTCTGGCACCTTATCCTGGGGGCGCAGAGCCAGAATGAGCCGTGGGGCATTTTTCTTCGCTAGCTCATGAAGAAGTTTGGAGATCGTTCTCACTGCCACCGGGTCCAATCCCACTAAGTAGAGGTTAGAATTTCACATCCATCAAATATGAACTGGGAACACCCACTGAATGGCTCGTCAAGAAGTAATAGCTCTGGTTTGCTAAGAATTGCTTTCGCAATTCGCGCTCGGCGGGTTTGACCATTGCTTAGACTCGAGACTGGCAAGGTGAGCACATTTCCTAGTTCAAGACTGCTAATGGTGCGCTGAAGGAAATCCTCATCATGTAGCGTGCCTTCTTCCTCGCCCTCCATGGGGTTCAAAGAGGTCTGGCCACGCAAGTATTGCAGGAGGGTCCAGTCGGTTTCCTCCCGATAACTCTCATAGCGAGCACTGAGGTATGCGCCACGGATTCCCCCAATAGCCCCCGAGCCCTCGCCACTGAATCCAACATATTGGACGGCATTTTCCACAACACGTAACCGTGGGTCCTTGGCGGCGATCTCGTCTGTGAGGAGGTATGGATATGAACGTGCGTTGGGCGGGATACAGATGTGTTCGCCGCGAAGGATATTGAGAAGGTCGGTTCGGTCAGATGGGCCGATGATAGCCCAGTGTTGCAAATGTGCCGCCTTGGTTGTGCTGGGAGCAGGAATAGCGGGTAGAGTGAAGTTCAGGTTTGGGAAGAGAGGTGGATTGGACGGGTCTTCGGCGGTTGGATACTTCTTATAAAAAGTTCCATCTTGAATGCGAATGAACGGGATTTCGGACTTGAACCGGGTCGCGTGGTAAGCTGTAAGTCGCAGCACCCTCGGCCGCAATTTTGTTCGGAGTAGTAGCATCGTCGTCTACTGGCAAAGTCACAACAATGCGGAAATTGGAGATTCGGGGTTAACATTTTCGAGGTCACGTGGCTATCTGGAGCGATTCTAGATGCAGGGGTTATACGGGAGCCCGGAGAGATCCAGGAACTGCTAACAATACAGGTAAATTTGGTGCAAGACCACAATCGAAGTATTTTTTATTGAAGTATTTTTTTCTTCTTTTGGAATGGCTGTCAAATTACGGGTGATACAATCAGGACTGGTGTTTTTTATATACACATATATATCATGTGCCCTGACCAAAGGTCCATTTTTCGGCCTCATTCCATTGTTGAACATGTCATACAACATCAATAACCAAGTCGCAAGATAATCTGCATTTTGATATTGGTCATCTCTTAAACAGATACATCCATGATGCATTCTCTCGAACATTGGAGTGCCTGAATTTCCCACGTGACCGTTCCGATCTTATCGCATCCGATCCCGGGGTCCGGATAGCTCTCTTTTTCGGATCTGCATCGTGCGGGGTGATTGTTCGAGATGTGCTTTGTATCCGCCATCTATTGAGATAATTCAAAGTTGCAAGTAGTGGAGAGATATATTCGAAACGAAATCAACATGTCTGTCTTATAATTCCCGCCAAGTAGTGGTATCTAGGTAAATCCCAATATAGATATCAGCCGACGGGTAATGTTGCGGGTGTGGCCACCCGACGGCCAAACTGTCGGGACCCGATTATCAGAAGTCGTCATGGACCCTTATATAGCCGGCCTACTCTTACTTCACTTCCCCACAAACCTGCTGCACATCTTGTGCTTCTAATTACAAACTCTCACGTGGCAACCACGATTTGCGTTGATCTCATATCGAAGAAATCACCGTGAACGTCCATTCAACCAACGTCCAAGTACAAGTATCTACGCAGAGAGAAAGAAGCAACATAACAGGCAGCATGTACTCTCCAGTCCTTGAGACCAGTCGCATCTTCTCTGAGCTGTGCGAGCAGTCGGAACGTTTCGACTTACCACCCGAGGTGCTTGCAAACAAAGACCTCGTCTCATTCTCTACCAGTCACAATGAAATCTACTTCCCCATTCCTTTTAAAGAGACCGAGACTCTCGCTGCCCTGAAGGGTGTCGAAGGTTCTGTAGCCGCTGCCATTGCTGACCTGCGCTTTGGTGCTGGCGCGGAACCTCGGGGCATTCAAGTCAGTCTCGAAGCTGCCACTGCCTTCGGATGTCAAGCGTACATGGCAAAAGTAGATGGTCTGTCAAAGTTGGACCCGGCTGTGAAATCCAAGTTGAAGAGTATGTACTTTGGTGTGCATTGATTTACCAAACAAAAAACAAAATATTGACTGTAACAGATACGGATTTGCTAGCTGCCCAATCCATCGGCTACCGACGTATGTCGGCAAATCTTTACAAGACTAAGAACCCAGGCGAATACTTCCATATTCATGGCTCGCTGGAGGCTACGACGACCTTAAACATGATTGGGCTGGAGGGCCAACGACCAGACCTGACTGACTATGAAGAAATCATCAAGGTCATTGAGAATAAGGTACAACAATACACAGTTGCAGAGCTTGAAGAGATGAACAAGGAGAGACGCCAGGCTGGTGTGACTGCCTACAAGCATGAAGACTTCATCAAGACCCCCCATGTAAGTTTTGCACAGTCCTGTATCCTACTACGACAAGCAGGCTAATCCTTCGATAGGGAAAACTCAACATCGAAGAACCTGCATGGAAAGTCAGCAAATTACCCGGTGACCTTCCTCCAACCCCCTTCCCAGCTAGACGCAACGGCAGCAACAAGATCCTCGAGGGCGTCAAGGTACTGGAGATGTGCCGTATCATCGCAGGCCCAACTGTTACCCGTATTCTAGCCGAGTATGGTGCCGATGTGTTGAAGATAACCAGCCCAAACCTTTCCGACGTGCCGTTCTTCCAAGTCGATGGTAACATGGGAAAGCTTGCAGCAGATCTTGATTTGAAGACCGAGGCTGGACGAAGGGAGTTTGAGAAACTCCTAGATGATGTGGATGTTATCGTGGATGGCTACCGCCCTGGGGCACTTGACAAGCTTGGCTACGGAGCAGAGGCCATGGCTGTTTTGGCCAAGAAGCGTGGCAAAGGCATCGTTTACGTGAATGAGAACTGTTTCGGATACGAAGGCGAATGGGCTGGCCGCGCTGGATGGCAGCAGATCGCAGACTGCGTAAGTTATCAGATCCAATCTTCAGCGAATTCAAATGAATACTGACCTCAACTGCAGGTTACTGGAATCGCCTGGGCCCAAGGCCAGTTTATGGGCCTCTCAAGCCCCGTTGTACCCCCCTTCCCCATCTCCGACTACGGCACAGGCTGCATGGGCGCCATCGCTGCGCTGACTGGTCTCTATCATCGCGCAAAAACCGGTGGCTCGTACCACGGCAAAGCCTCACTGATGCACTACGACCTTCTCCTTTTTGCAATGGGCCAATACCCCGCTGATGTGCAGGAGGAGCTTCGCAAGGTGCAACCACCCGAGTTCTTTAAGTTGCGTCACTGTGACAGCGTTGACCGCATCTCGTCGACTGTGCTGAAAGGCATGCAGGCGCGGTTCCCGCACTTGTACAAGCCTGCCGGTTCTGAGTCGGAAGGCCGCAAGCCACTCACAGAGCTCTGGTCATCGCGCGCATATGGTGCGGATATCGAGATTGTGAAGCCAGTTGCAGTTATTGGCGGAGTGGATAATCAGTTCGTGCGGTCTAGTCGTCCGAACGGATTTGATCGGGCTTCGTGGGATGAGTTTAGCGTCGAGGAGACAGATGCGAAGAAGTGTTAGTCCTTTTGACACTGTCTTCGTTCTTTTTCTTTGCCTTTGAATACGAGGAATGCATCGTGCATAGATTGCAATTTACACTAGTCTACAAGTTATCTTGAAACCAGTACCTAGGTAGTGTAGGATCCATGGATGATATGGAGCTAAAGTCTAGACCAGCCCATGTCTGGCTAAGGTCGACCTCTTACCGAGGCACTAAGCCCCACTAGACATAGGTTTCCCCAAAAACAGGTTTAACCCGTTTTTTTCGTAACCCCGTTTTTTGTCTCTTATTTTGACAACATATCATATTATCATATTTCGAGAACCTCTTTATGTGGAAGTGACCAAGCTATAGCTTAGCTGACCCATCTAATATGGGTCAGTCGGTGGATGTTGAGCAAGAGAGAATCCGGGATTTATCAAAGTTTGTTGATTCCCCGCCCGGTGTTTGTAATCTCCACTAACGCATCCCCCGATCTCAACAGATATTATTGTACTTTTGATCAGGTCTCTACAAGCTCAGACCATGAACTGCATGACGTCCCACAGGATAAACCCTCCCCTCGTCTTTCAAATGATATCACATTGACCGCCCTAACACAACTGGGTGTCTATCGCTTTGGATGTAATCGCTCTTTTGTTTCAATCATCGACGGGGAAAGCCAGCATGTCATTTCAGAGGCAACCGCCTCGATCTCTCTTCGAAACAAAGATCTTCATCGCCCAGATGATGGCATCTTCCTAGGTGTAAATACACTTGACTTGGAATGGGGAGTGTGCCCCCACGCCATTCGACTTTTCACTGGACAAGATCTCTCCCGGATACTAGACACAGAAAATATAACGGCCAACCAGACACGCAACATCATTCGCGATTTTACCAAGGAGGATTTCTACAAAGATCGCCCGTATGTGCTTAGCTGGCCTTTCTTTCGATTCTACGCCGAGGTGCCATTGTACAGCCCTTCCGGCTTCGTACTAGGTTCATATTGCGTGGTAGACAACAAGCCACGAACGAAATTTGGGGACGAAGATGTCGCTGCTCTTCAGGATATTGCCGACTCGATTTCAAACCACCTTGAAAATTCACGGATCGTGCAATACCATCGACGCTCAGAGAACTTGGTCAAAGGGCTGACAAACTTCGTCAAAAGTCATTCGAAATTCGACCCCACTAGCTCCTCCACTCAAAGCCAGATTGAGGCATCCGCAAAGAAGCTCAATTATACAGATTCGGGGCTAATATCCACCCCAGGGGAGGTGGATGGAACGCTAGACTCTTTGTCCACAGAAAAGGATATTGGTGTTTATTCACCCCTTGATCAAAGGTCGTCCACAACTCTGAACAGAAAGGAAGCGTCAGTGTTCTCTCGAAACATACAAGTCGCGTCAAACTATACACTACAGTCATCGCTTTCTCGAACCTCGGACCGAGCTGAGCCGCTTCCCCCTTCCATAGAAGGACCCCCGGAATCATCAGTGCTAGAAAATGTGCCGATCACTGAACGCATAGCTGCGATTTTTACCCGTGCCAGTCTTCTACTGAAAGAATCTTTGGATCTGGACGGTGTGGTCTTTCTTGATGCCCACCGAAATGACCCGCAATTGTTAGTCACTCTTTTTTGGATAATTGTCATTTTCTAATTCCATTTTAGCGAATCCTCTGGGCGGCACGATGATTGGGATGCCTTGTCGAATTTTGACCCAGATTCTCTCGTTGCTTCATGCGCCAAGTCCTGGGATCTTCCTAATGCAAATTCGCCCAAAGATGCAGAAAGCTACTGTAGCTCATTAGGCCAAGCTACAAGCTGCAGATCAGAAAAGAGCAATGGCTCTAAATTCCAACTCAAAGTGAACGAAGAGTTACTGCATTCCTTGATCACACACTTTCCAGATGGTCACATTTTCAACATAGACAGCAGGAGTAATCCGGTCAGCCCCGTGGACTCCGAAAGTAGCAATTTGGATACCTCTGCTCCCAATACCGAAATCATTTGGGAAATCTCTCATCGTCTGGCTCATCAGCTGCCTGAAGCTAAGTGTGTGCTTTTCTATCCTCTGTGGGATTGGAACAAATCCCGATGGCTTGCAGGTACACTGGTTTGGGTTAACGGAAGCCATCGTCCCTTGAGCGCAGAAGACCTGCATTATTTTAAAGCTTTTGGAGATTCTATGATTTCCGAAGTATGTCGGATACACTGGACCGCCAGTGAAAACTCAAAATTTGACTTTGTAACTTCCATCAGTCACGAGCTTCGCTCCCCACTACACGGAATTCTCGCGAGCGCAGAGTTGCTGCGTGATATTCCGCTTCAGGCCGCGCAGCGCGACATGGTGAACATGATCTCAACATCTGGACTGACCTTACTGGACACAATAGATCACCTGTAGGTTATATTCCCGGCCTGTTGAAAGAGACCTTTTACTGACCAATGCCAGGTTGGATTACTGTAAAATCAACAACTTGGCAATCACGCAGAGTGTCAACGTTAGCAGCACTGAAGATTCTGGAACAACCCTTGTATCAGACTTCAACCTCGATTCCTTGGTAGAAGAAGTCGCTGTGATCCTCCATACTGGTCGGAAGGTACCTAGGCCTATCCCTTCTCTTGCAAGCCAAACAGCTACTGCAATGTCGGCCTTTGAACCCACCCCTCGTCTTACTCGAAATGAGGATGAATTGTCAGTGATAGTGAACATTGAGCAGTCCAGTTCTTGGAATATCCGATCAGTCGCTGGTGCCTGGAGGAGAATCGTCATGAATCTCCTCGGCAACGCAATGAAATGGACGCAGACCGGCCTCATCGAGGTGTCATTGTCACAAGCCACAGCTCAGACTCAAGCAGACACTCACCTTGTTCATCTTCGCGTTACAGACACGGGCCAAGGAATATCACAAGACTTTCTTAGAAACTCGGTATTCTCTCCATTCGCCCAGGAAGACGCCCTGTCAGAGGGTGTCGGGCTTGGACTCAGCATCGTGCACAAGCTAGTGACTTTCCTGGGTGGTGATCTCAAAATGAAAAGCGAAATCGCAGTTGGTACCCAGGTCGATGTGTATATTCCCGCACAACGTCCTAAGGACTATGTTCCCGCTAAGTTATTCGACAATCTTTCCTCGGTGGGAATTCGAAGACACAATGATACTCTGAAGACATGTCTCATTGGATTTAACGGCTGTCCTGACTTGATGGAAACGCCCACTGGTATCCTGAGCTCCGATGCGAAACGAAAACTTTCTATTCAAAACACTGTCGCAAATGTCTTCAGGATACAACTAGGATGGCATGTCATACTGGCAGAGTCACTTGAGAAGGGAGAGGGTGACATCGCGGTCATTGAGGAGGCAAATTTCAACGCTATGTTGAATGACCAACCACCCTCAACTACAAGTGCCGGCCATCATTTCAAATTCTTCGTTGTGTTGGCCAGCGCAACATCCTCACCAGCTCACCCTCTTCCTCAGAATGCTATCCTGATGTCACAGCCGTACGTCCAGAGTGCACCATTTTGATAAGTACTTCAGCTAACTTTCGATGCAGATATGGACCTCAGAAGATCCGTGAAACCGCCCAAAAAATCATGGACCTGCACAAGTCACAAGCTCAAACCGGCGGTCTTGAAGCTCCAACTCCCGTTTTGCCAACAAACCATGAAATTCCTCCGTCAAAACCTACCCCACCGAGCCTGGTGGAAATATCAAAAGACCTTTCACAACAGCCCCCAGTTGAAGTGGTCTCCCAGGGTCCTATTATCGGGAGCTTGCCGATCCGATCGAATGGTCAAATAAACGACATGCATATTCTCATAGTAGATGACAATGACATCAACCTCCAAGTAAGTTGGCTCACTACAAACTCGGTTACGCAAAGGTTGTCCTCGCTTCCTCGTGTATCATTCCCTTACATCGATCCCTGGTGATCTGGCTTATAACCATGAAATAGATCCTGGCTACGTTCATGCGAAAGCTTGGCTGTAGCTACGACACGGCTTCTAATGGGCTGATTGCGTTGGAAAAGGTTGAAAATTCGAGTCGAAGATATGACTTGATATTGATGGGTTAGTCTACAAGTTTGCTAAACACCCCTCATTCCGAAATTGCTAACTGTGTGGTTGTCAATTCTAGATTTATCAATGCCTATAATGGACGGGCTCGTTTCAACCAGTAAGATCCGACAACACGAAAAAGACCACGGTCTCCAACCGTCTCGCATCATGGCTGTTACAGGCGTCGCTTCGGATACCATGCAACAAGCAGCATTGACAGCAGGTGTCGACGACTATTTAGTCAAACCTCTCTCCCTCCGTAAGCTGAAGAAGCTTATGGAACCCACACTCTAGTCGGATACCACCTCCTATGACTACAACCGTTCCCTCCGACGATTTTTGGAAGGCTGTTTGAAAATTCGCATTTAGCATTAGCCCTTTCGTGATACCATAGCAAAAGCTGGAGCAAGAAAACGAACAGCTCTATAAAGCTCATCCTTAACTAACGAAATATACAATCACACGATAGTTCTGCCTTATTAATATCATACGAATCCAATTTTTCCATCTATCCAGGACCAAAGCTCTAGAAACACTCGTATACACGCCAAATGCGGTCTGCATGATCCACAATCCAGATGGACTATTATTCTTTCCACAAGATCCTTGACACCACCCCACTAACGGCAAACTTTCTCAGTAACCTCTAGCACAGAATCCTTGAACCACTCAATGTCGTTGCGAATCTCCTCCCACCCATCACGTAGACACCCGATAAGGCACGCTCCCACAAGAACCCCACACAACGTCATTCTTATTCGCTGTGCAACCTTAGAAGGAATTCACCATGACCAATCATATCCATATCCCAGCCCAACAATTAGGTATCCTAGCAGCATCAGCTGCATCCCAACATGCCCAAAGACTCGGAGCTTGTGATACACACCCCGACAGCCGTAGGCCGTTAGACATGGTTCCAATTTCGCCATCGAATCATCAGCTCGGTGCGCAGCTCTTGCATCACGCCAGTGAGGTGGCTTTGCTTGAGCAGGTGCAGCGCCGTTGCGAGACCGGCTAGTCTAGTGCTGATTTATTAGTGCGTCTATGGCGGGGTTTCTTAGCGGGGTTTGCTTTTTTGCGTTGGCAGTCATCTTCATAATGCACGCACAAATCTGTTGTGGTTATTTTGTGTCGTCCATTACTAAACTTCGGGACACGCTGATGTGCGTGGGTTAATGTATGTGCTGGTTTGGGCTATGCTTACCTTGCGTGGTTCGGACATTGCGGTGGGGTTGGTGTAACGTTCGAGGTCGGGGGTGTATTTGTTTTTTTTTTTTTTTTTTTGGTTCATGGGATTTGGATTTGGGTTTGGGTTTAGGATTTGGATATTGAGTATTTGATTTTGTTTATTTTTAGATAGTCTTTGAAGGGAGATATATATTTGGCCTTGTATACTCCACAGTTTGAGTACGAACTCCATGGGTATTCCCTGTTGGGTAAATGCTGCCGCTAAGATCATAAATATATATCCTTGACCACAACTAACTATACAACAGCAAGATATAGAAAGGGATTTGTCTTTGTATGCGAGAACATGCACGAAATTCAACTTAAATTAGAGTACATGAAATATTAAGACAGCTGAAGATAGACTAAAAACAGATGCAAATTCAAACAAAGAATCTACTTGATGTACTCCGTAAGCTTTAGCTCGTATCACTATCACGGCCACTATAATTGGCCCCCAAACCCTCGGGTGGAGCAGGATTGTATGTATTTGGAATTGTACGGCTATCACATACATGAACATTGTCTTTCATAGGGGTCAAGTTTGTCATGATTGCATTTTATAGGGTGTTCAAGGAGAAATTGTCTAACGGATACCAGCAGGGTCATAGCGCTGGATTCCAAATTCCCCTGGGAAGCACTGACATATGTACACAAACAGGCCCCCCTGAATAAGAGTCTTGCAACTCAACATCCCTTCGTATCGAATTAAAAGAAAAACAAACAGTATACCGCCAATAAACGCCGCGAGCCGGAGGGGATATATGGTACGATGCTCGAAAGATACAAAACTCCTAAATCAGAAAAACAAAAAACAAAAAAGGGGCCAAAGAAAACAAAGAAGCGCAAAACAGGTATGTACGGTTCAAAGACGGAGAAATAACAATATTATGAATTAGGAATCAAAAATCGGCCCAAAGGCCGGGGTCCCTCGACATTCAAGCTCATAGACGATTCGCGCTGTCAGCACAGGGTTACTGATCACGCACACCGCTTCGGCGTTAAAGTGCTTGACCTGCTGCAGGATAATGGGCACCATGTCCATACGCCCACACTTGTCGGTGTCAAGGATGATGGGTGCTGAATCCATCTTGTGGACCATATGCATCACGCCGTCACCGTAGGTCCTTCGAGGCGCACGAGTTTGCCAGAGGACACGGAGGGCGGGTCGGTTATCATCACCAAGGAACGAGAGACAGGGCCCGATGCCCGATCCGGTAGTGACGACTACCACTCGCTTGAAAACGCGCATGGCATATGCGAAGCCATAGATCAACACACCGCGCTTCCAAAGATGGGTAGGCGGGTTCTGGATGGTTTCTGCAGTCCAGTCACCAGCTTTGGACACCAAGGAAGAGAAACTTGGCTTGCCATGGACACCTGCGGGAGCAGGGTCTGGGAAAGTTGCAAAACCATGCCAGTCGCGAAGCGGGTGCTTGGCTAATTGGATGCCCTTTCCAAAGGTGGTAACAGCATGGTCGAAGTGCAGTCGGGTGGCGTGGGTCGAGAGTGGCTCGGCCCGCACCGCGACCTTTCGGAGGAATAACCAAGGCTGGATGATGGCCGCAACCGTGAACATCAAGAACCAGAATGCTGGCAGTTCGATGAGGAATGTTCCAAGTGGTTGGCCCATGGACTGACTAGCGCCTCGTGCGAATACGAGCAATAAGGCGACAAACAAGGCCACGACAAGCCACCCCGAAAAACGGTGGGTGAGTTCGAAATAATCATGCCGTTTCATCCGGAAGGCGGGGTGGGCCACGACGATTATCGCTAACAACAACACCAAGATGACATAAGCCAATGCAACTGGTGCTGCTGAAATTCCGATTTCCGGACCATCCATGGATGGTTTCCAATACTGGTGGGATAACACGCCGACAAATCCCACATACCACACGAGGGAAGCGACTCCACAGCCGCTATGAACACCACCATAGTGGTAAACCTTCGCGGCGATCCGACGGAGAAGCAGCGGCGCTGAGCGCGGCATAGAGCATACTACCACAAAGATAGCATTGACCACCAGTGGCTGGCGGGCCAAACCGCAAGCGAGCAAATTGGCAGCCGTGGCATTGACCAGGGCTAACAGTTTTTGTTCCGTGCTCATGACGTACACGAAGACTGCAACGTTGGCGCAGAAGACTAGCGTGAAAAGACGCCGGTATAGTGTGAGAATGGCATATCGGGTAGATGCAAACGCCTTGGGTTTGCGCTGGGTGCTCTGCTGGGTCTGTGCTTCCACATCGATCTCCTTTGAGATGTCGAAGTGTAAGGATTCGGTGTCATTGGATTCGAGCTTCTCATTGATTTTCCCTCCATTGGTAAGAGTGGCCTCACTCAAAGATGGCGTGTGTCGCGCAACGACCACCTTTGGAGGCATTGTGATGGGGCTTTTCTCTGACATAACTATGATGGGTTCTCTCACGGCCATATAAAAAGGTTCAAAAGGTGACCGGAGGTGAATGAACTAATGAAGACAGGGATTCCTTGGGAAGAAAGAAATAGTTGACAATTCAACCAGGGCGAGTCTTCCATTTTTGAAGTGAAGCATGTTAAACCCAAGTGTCTCTTTTTGTTTTCTTTGCTTTTTTTCTTTTTCTTTTTTTTCCCCTTCTGTTTTTTTGTTTTTTTCTTCTCCAAACTCCACCAAAAGATCAGCCTCACATGCTCCCCTTCTGCATGGCTCCTGCCTTCGCATCCTTCTTTTCCCAATCGAGTTTCCTCTGTCCCTTTTGGGCGTCACCGGGCATCACCGCGAACGGTGACGCCCTTTTCCCATCTTCTCCATTCTATTCGTCCAATCTGGTCCCTTTCTTCTCTTTGAGTTTGGTTCCGAAAATCAGGAATGCATTGCATATGATCCTATAATTTGGCCCATTATTTTTTCCCTTTACCCTTCTAGGTCTATGATGTATGACACTATCACCTCCGAGGCCGAGACTTCACACTATTGCAAGTGGTTCTTGCCAATCAGCAATCAAAGAACCATCCTACTCCCTTGCTTTCAGCTGCTTCAGGTTCTTCAGATACACCTCGGGGAAGTGTCTGACGCAACCCCGACCCACGCTGTAGCCTGTCAAAACTTTGTCTGGTCGTCCATCCAAAGGGGAGTGGAACCTCCCTTCGGGGATCAACCGGAAAGGGAGATCAAAGAATGTGCTCATTGAAGTTTGATTGCAACCTAATTACCCTCGATATCTCCACAATAACAAATTGAGGACCAGTCAAGGTGAGGACTGCACTGAATCGCTGTCACGGGCCAGGTGCAACCTGACCAGGGTTCGACTTGACTAGCCCAGATGGGATGCAAGCGCCGGATATGATGGGCCAGTGCACCTGATCATACGGTCAAGAAAGCCTTCAATAAAAACAGCCGATCTGCAGCCTAGGGATGGCGTTTGGCGGACCACAAGTCCCTTTCGACCGGATGCGCATTCGAGGCGCCATCAACAATGCCAATGTGGATCTATGGGAGGTGTGGCGGAATCGTGCCATGAGTTAATGCAATAAGCCGCCGGATGATAGAGAAGTTCATGTTTGTTGGGATTTTTTTGCTTTTTTTTTCCGACTTTTGTCTTTTTTTTGTTTTTTGTTTTTTTCAACGCGCAGTCGATCATCAAGATGCAGCTGAAGGATGATTCTCGCGCTATGTCCAATTCCCGCCCCTCTCTTATCTGGCAAGGTGAAATTCTTACGCTAAATCCCCCACCCAGCGCCGAGGCAGTGGCAACCATGCACGGGTGTAGTACATAACCTGGGAAGTGGAGCACGGTTTCGTTAGCCGATGTTTAGTCGATCTGGATCTGGATCCGGGGAGGAGAAGCCGCTCTGAGATTCAGACTAACAGGACTCCACAGGGGAAAGCAAAGAGGAGATGGGGTCTCCACTGAATCTCAGCTGCAGGTTTTGGGTATCTATTGGGGAATATTGGGCCCCATAACCACCAGTGGCAAGTGGAAGGAGAGTGCATCCCTTCATGACATGGGGGACGTCAGAGGTGAATGACAGCGGGGAGATTTGGCAGGGGTAAAATTACCCCGTGGAAGGATTCTAGATGAATAAGCCCATATCGGTGGAACACGGGATATAGGAAACCCCCCTACCTCAGCTCGTGGGAACCCTTGACGAAAATGACATTATGAAGTTCCTTAAAAAGGGAATGTGACTTGATCTGATTAAAGTTTGGAGCATATCTCACGATCCGGTCGATCCTACGAACCCATTTTCTAAACTACAAAGTATATCTCAAGCAAGGCAAGAGAAACCTTCGGGAATCACGGGGACACGGATGAAATTCCGATCTAATCGTGTGGCTCAGCTCTTCAAAAGGGCTAGTGAATTAGTAAGAACCAGATTGGTTTAATATTAATTTTAAATTTAATCTATTTATTGGATTTTTGAAACCCGCCACAATGGATGGCGCTAAGGGCTTTTAGTGTCGAACAGGATTAGTGGAGATGCTCCATAGTGCCATAGTGTTGTGAATTCCATTCTATGACATAGTCCTGAGTCCTTTTTTTATTTTTTATTTTATTTTTTTCCTTTTTTCCCTTACTGTGGAAGTTTGAGTTCAAAGGTTTTCAGCTCCTTGTGTATCTATTGATTTTATTTCTTGAATTCTATTGAATATTGTATATTGTAGTATTAGTGTAGTTGTATACAGACTTTCGCCTTACTCCCGATGCAGCACTAGCGGCGTTACATAAGCATGTATTCCAAATCCTGGAACAGGTGGAACAGACGGGGGGGGTTCATGTCAAGGTAAAATCAAATCAAAGGGACAAAATGGAATATACATTTACATTTTACCTATATAATCCCCCGAAGTTCACCGTTTCATGCTTTGGTACTCAAAATATATTACACTTATTCTTCTGACCTTTCTTACCTTTCTTACCCTTCTCTCCTTCTATATCTCTCACACACTATGGGTTGGAACACAACTATGTCAAACAATATGCCCTCTCAGGAGGTCTATTCTGACTTGCTGAGTTTCACATTCGATGGCCCAAAGCCTTACAACCAAAATCAACCACTGTTCATTGATGCAGAGGATCCTTCTCGATCATTTACAGGTGTTCAATTCCGACAACTAGTTCGGACTTTGATCGCTGGTTTGAAAGCCCACAATGTTCAGCCAGGAGATTGTGTATTGCTACACTTGGGAAATAGTGTGAGTGAAAAAAAAAAATTCAAAAAAAAAAAAAGAAAAAGAAAAGAAAAGAGAATCTTCCAAATCATTCAAATTCAACATTGGATTATGATTGTTCTCGGGAAATAAAGAACCCTCGCTGACTCAGGCCTGTCATATGCAACAGATACTATATCCCGCACTGTTCTTCGGTATAATTGGCGCCGGTGGTGTTTACATGGGATCAAACCCCCGCAGCCACCCCCAAGAACTCGAGCACATCCTCAGCCTCGCCGAGCCCAAATTAATCCTCACAACTCGCGATGCCCTCCCCTCCGTTCTCGATGTCTCCGCAGCCCGGGGCATCCACCCAGCACAGGTCTGTCTCGTGGATGAGCGAGCCATCGACCACTGCGCACAACTATTCCTATGGTACGAACTAGGATATTCATCGGCAGGACAATTCTGCGCAATGAATGGCGACGCGCGTCACAACCATTTCGCAAATTTACTTTGCTACGGTGAAAGTGACTGGATAAAATTCGCCGACCCTATCGTCGCACAAGCCACGCCTGCAGCCATGTACCCGACCAGCGGTACAGGTGGACTTCCCAAAGCGGCAATCCTGTCCCACTATGCACTTGTCTCACAGCACCGCACCATCTACTACGATGTGCCTCATCCAGTCAGTCGACTCATCTCGCTGCCCATGTTCCATCTGTTTGGTGCCCTTTGGACACATCTGTTCCCTGTCCGTTATGGGCACCCGCTGTTTGTCATGCCGCGCTTCGAGATCAATGAGTTCCTGGCTGCTGTCCACAAGTACCAGATCTCAGAGACTTACCTTGTCCCGGCTATCATCCACGCTATCAACCAGTCATCTGTACCCATCGGTGATATGTTGTCTTCGCTGCGCTATGTTGGTGTTGCGGGCGCTCCTATTGATGGTCACTCCATGCAGCAGTTCCGCAGCCATATCAACCCTATGGGATACGCTTGCCAGATCTGGGGAATGACTGAGGTCGGTGTGACATTCCAGACTCGCTGGGGCCAGCAGGGCGACCCTGGAAGTATCGGTACCTGTATTGCCGAGTACGAAGCCCGCCTAGTGGACGCCGACGGCAAAATTGTGCAGAGCGATTGTTGCTCGGGTGAATTGTACGTCCGTGGACCGGGTCTACTCAGTGCATACAAGGGCCGCACGGACGCATTGGAGCCACACGGGTGGTTCCGAACAGGGGATGTGGCGTACGTCAAGCAGGGCCAATATTACATTGTCGGACGGACAAAGGAGCTTATCAAAGTACGAGGGTAAGTTTATCATCAAGCCTCATTTTCCTCATCAACTCAACAAACATACTCATCATTCTACAGATGGCAAGTAGCCCCAGCTGAAGTCGAATCCATCCTCCTCCAACACCCTGGAGTTCTTGATGCCGCCGTGATCGGCGTGAACAAAGATGGTGTCGGTGAGGTCCCGCGCGCCTTCATCGTTCGCTCTCGCGACCCATCCGTGCGCCGCGTAACTGCGGAGCAAGTTTACAACTACGCACGCCAGCAACTGGCTACATACAAATCTCTCGATGGAGGTGTCGTATTCGTGGAAGAAATCCCGCGCACTGCAAGTGGAAAGATCCAGCGCTTCAGACTGTCGCAGATGAACTCCTATCGGGAGATGGTGGCGTCCCTTCTATCCCGATTCGACGGTGACGGCTCCGCTGCAGCCACCGCGGCTCGACGTGGATTACCCGCTGCGGCTGAGATGTCGCATGTTGGACTCATCCCTGAAGGACGGGTTGCAGTCTAAATTAAGAAAGCGGGGCACAGTATCTTTGCACTATCTACATCGCATATGAGTTGTATCCCACTCATTCGGCGGTGAAGTGGTACGGTGAATAGCACAGGGGATGGCGTTTGGCTTAGAACACGGCGTTCTCGGACATTTGGGATTTTTGCATTTGTTTCTTTTTTAATTTTTTTTTCCTTTTCGGGTGGTTCTCATCTTTATTCTCATGACTTAGATTCAATATTCTCACGATAGTTTCCAAATCAAATGACAATTTTTATTATTCATTCACACCAGCATTACCTAGATAATAACGAATTCTCTACATAGTCCTACTTTATTTGTTATTTGAAAATTCCAAATAACACCAAATCCAAGTTCACAACCATCAACCCAGTATACATATCAAGTCGTCAAAAGTAAACAACCTAACAACCTAGACCCATCTACTGGTCCCCAACCTCCGAACACACGACTTCCGCATCATGCAGTAAGACTCTAGAACATCCCACACCGCATTTCCAGTCCCACTTCCCTGTCCCAGCCCAAGGCCTCGGTTTTCGATCTCGGATCTCGGCTTGCATCCGCAAAACCCGCTGCACGGAAGAAATATGATGTATAGCACCTGACAAAAATACGGAGGACAAAAAAAGCAAATTAAAATATTATATATTTTTACGGCCCCACGTCGATCCAGTTCGCATCATGCACATGCGAGGTCCCAATGTAAAAAGTACGTGGGGCTGGGGCGGTCACACGGAATCCGAATCCGAGACCGATGGGAAAATCCCACGATGAAGTGCATCCGCGCCAATATATGCATGTCGGGTAAAAACCTTGCAACATTGGAACCTTGGAATTGGGACCTTGGAACACTCTGGACGTTCCGTTTCCAAGGTTCCCTGCAAGGGGTGCACCCTTGGTACCGGGCGGGGATCGACGGAGCTAAATAGGTTAATTATTGATGGCCCCCGATTAGGTTGCATTAACTGTCTTGGTTAGGTTTTTTTTTTTGTTTAGAGTTCACTGTATAGGTAACTACACTATTTTTCAATATTCAAGGTACGGAGTACTCCGTTCAGCGGGTCCTGTTCCAGCTGGCCTGGCTCTTACTATTTCCGGTGTTTTTGGTGCTGTGGCTTCGCACTCTTGCTATTTCCGGAGCGGACGGAGAAGTGTTCCCGCGGGCCGCTATTGTCGGGTTTCATCCGCGTTGACAAGGTTCGGAATGTTACATCGGCCCGATGGGGTTTTGGCACGTCAGGTCTTTCTTGCACGTCATGTTGTTGTTATTGTTTTTTTACCAAGTCTACGGGTTTGGATTGCTGTCCTTGCTTTTCTCGGGGGTTATGTCTTGCCCTCCTTTGGGTATAAGGAGAAATATCATATCGCACCTTGCATGAGGCGAAGACAAGGATTCTGAGGATTCCCATCCCTCTGGGAAACTCATACATGTGACTCAGAGGAACATATCATCGGGAATAGAAATGCGGAAATGTCAAGTTCAACACATGTAAATATCTTCCGAATCACGAGGTCAGTTTCCTCTGCCGAGGAATTACAATATTTTTTTTTCTAGTCAGGTGTAGGTGCAGGTGCATTTGCATTTGTTGAGCTTGACCTGTGCGCTGGAGAAGCTCGGCCCTAATATCTACGACATGTCAAATTCACACTCTCAACATGGATGTCGAGAACAAAGTACCTAAAGTACCCAAAGTACCCAAATTGCCCAAAGTACTGAGAAAAATCAAATTCCAGCCACGGATTAAAATTGACTGAATTCGTCCTATCCATGCATCTAGAACACGTCGAACCCACGCTCATGTCAAAGATACCCCTGTAAACTCGTCCATTAGTCCTCGGGGATTATTTGTAGTTCTATTGATGTATCTACGGAGTATAGAACTTCCAATTTCTCTCACCAGGATCCGAGTGGAGCACATGAAGAGGAAATACGAAGTCTTGATGTCCTTCCTGGGGATACCCCTGCTTTTCCTAGACCTAACCGCTTGGATACGTGTCGATATATATCTGGACCAAAGTTTGTCGTTGGCCTGGATGTGCCTTTACGAAGAGGCCCCACTGAATGTCATGGCTGTCACAGTCGGTGAGAAAAGATTTGACGAAGATGAACGCCAAGGCTAGAGGATTGCCAGCGCGACGAGGTTGTGCAGGGATAATGACAATTAAGTCGAGTCTTCGTATACCGAAAATAGTGTCGACGATTTCGTGTCCAAGGGTCGCATTGACAGGTGAGTTGTAAAGAAGGGAATCATGGTGGCGTTCGAATATTTGGATTTGGTGGGAAGATTTGTAGAGGATTTTACTGCTCTTCGGGTGGGTTGGTGAATTGGCTACTTATTTGATATCAATTTATATTTTGGACAAGGGTGTTGTTTATTTCGTTGCCATTGTGCGATGTCTTTGTCACGGTTGTTTCGGGATGCCTGTGTTGGGTGTCGTTTATGTTTCAAAGTTGATTATGTCTATGTCTCAATATATGTTTTGTTATTCTACAAATTAGGATGGATTGATAAACCTATCTTGAGATTCCGTTTACAATCCTCACCAAGCGACCGAAATTCCTCCCCAATGCAACTACTATCCCCACAATCATTCTTAATGATAAAAGCATACATCCTCTCCATCCCCAGTCTCAAATGATACCATAACCCATCCACCAAACCCCCCAAATCAAAGGTCCCAACGCCCCAAGCACGGCCGCCCCGAATGACAACTCCAGAATACACCAAATCCAAACAGTCCCAACAGCAGGCGCCTTCTTCATAACCGCATAATACGGCTCTCCATTCGTGATAGCGATAAGATGGGCGCCCAACAACGCAGAAAGAGGGAGAAAGACCAGAGTCTTCAGCGTAGGCGGGAAAACCAGCCTTCGCAGGAATGAAAAAGTCAATTTGTCCCTTGTCAATGGTAACAAATAAAGATGATCAGGCTCCGCCTTTGAATTGCGCTTTTTGAAGGAGATGATATGACCGTGTGCTAGGTGGATGAAGAAAGTAAGGAGAGGGAACGCAGTTGTCACAGATTCTTTAAAGAGTTTTGGCAGGTCAATTGATTCGGCGTATTGGTGGGCTGCGAGGTAGCCTAGGGTGAGGTGGAGGGTTGTGAGAGGCAGGGAAAGGAGGATTGTGTCGAGGAATGGCGGGAGGGGTTTGTCGGTTTCGGATTCAGAGTCGGATTGCTTGAGAGTTGTGTCCTTTGTACTCTTTTGACCATTCTTATTCTTGGTATTCTTTTGCGAGGGATTTGAGAGATGGCTGCTGATGTCGCCGTCGGTGTCGACCAATTCCCCGGACGCGTCGACTGTCACGAATCGCGTTCCCCCTGACTGTGACGGTATGCCCTGTGCTTCAACTGAAGCTGGAATTGCCCCCTTCTTTTGATGCAGTCCGCTTTGTCGCTCTGCGATGATGTCATATAGTGTGCGCTCGACGGTTGCTCTGTTTTTGGTGGGATCATCGCGTTGGGGATGGGCCAGGGCGATTTCGGGTTCGTCTTTTTTAGTAGAAGATCCAGCTGCCGCACGGCGCTGTTTGCGATTCCTTGGGGTCTCCATCTCGTTCAGGTGTGTTGGTGTGGAGAGAGGATGAGTGGCGGGCAAAAAAAAAGAGTTAACAAACACTGACGTGGAGAAATGAGGTTGAGGGCTCGGCGATAAGCTCCATCATTACCGGGGTTAAGGTGATCGCCAGTTGGCTCCCGGCTCTAGGTCTTTCATTTATTTGATCTATATTTTTATTTCTCAGGCCTGGGGTAGTAATGTAGTAATATGAAAACAAACTTTTATAAAGTGATTCCTGCTAATTCTCTGCACTCTTTGACACACACCCAGTAAATACACAGACCATTCAACCTGCCTGATACAAAGCTGGACCGGCAACCACATGCGGGTTAATCAAGCTCAAATTGAACGGGCTAACATATGGAGCGTTGTCTGTGATAGCAATAAAAATAGTACCATTGAAAGCCGGGTTACCTTGGTACGTTTCCAAGTCGGGCTGGGTAGTATATCCTCGAATGGTATTAGTGGTAATGTTGGTACTGTTGGTGCCATTAGTGGTATTGGTGGTGTTGGTGGTGGTCCCATTGCTGCCGCTGACAACCTGCAGAGGGGTGTAGGTAATGTTCAGTTGCGACACCCAAAGGACATACTGTGCACTGCCAGCTTTGGTCTCCGTTGTGGTGATGTAGCTGTTGTTGGGGCCAACGTTCTTCCCAGGAAGATCCCACTGCAACAATACCAGACGACCCGCAGCCGTGAGAGGTATTGGCCTCTTCTTGCTAAAAGAGGCACCGCAGATATTAGCTGAAGTAGACGAGTTGAATCTTCCAGAGCCTTTGGGTGACTTGGGGATGCTGACGCCTGGTCCGACAGTGTTGTTGATTCCAGTGGTCTCACTGAAGATGAATCCTGCACTCTGATTGAACCCGGAAGTCATGTTGAGCCTTGAAATTTGATCGGCACTTGTGGTAAAATTGTACCCAGTAGAATTGAACCCAGTGGAAGTGTGGCCAGTGGAATTATTCCCATTAGAGATGTACGCAGTAGGATCATACCCAGTAGAATCGTATCCGGAGGAATTTGGCCCATTTGTTCTGTTATTACCCGACGAAGAGTTGCGAGCAGTGCCCGAAGTCCACGGATCAGCCTGATTGACCACCATCAACGTCGGAAAATTCTGCCAAATCAAGCGAGTCTGATTTTCAGGACAAGAGCTGATAAAAGGTGCCAGCAGTGTCCAAGCCCAGGACTGAGGTATGCCAACTTCAAACCACTCAACCATCGGGAAGAGACCCTCAAACTGGCGGAAGATCAATTGCTGCCTTGCTTCCGTGGTGATAGACTGGGTCAAAAGAGTGGCTGCCTCGCGCGAGTCAAGGTGGGCGAGAAACCCATATACGCTAGATTCGCCCCAGCGAGTGAGTTTCTGACAGAAGTCGACAAACTCCTTAACATTCGTGTAGGGATAGATATAGTTGCATTGCTGTGGGGCACGGGCTCCGAGAATGTTGCTGAGCATAGTGGCATGGCCTATCTCTTGCTGCGCCATGAATGCGATCAACTCGCGGTCTGAAGCGGTCAATCCGGCGGCTCGGAAGGCTGAATCGTTGAACCGACGGAGTCCGTCTTGGAATAGATCGAGCTCAATCCATTCTTGGTATAAAGCAAGGGCCTGTAGATTGTAGGTTAGCTTCTGGCCCACAAGACAGCTATTTAGATTTAGTGCGAATACATACCAAAGACTCGTAGTCAAAATCGCTCTTCGTATTGTAGACAGGCGTGCTTCCGTTGGTCCCGACACCACCTGCTGGGACATATGGAGCAGGCTCGGAATGATGAAGATTTCCATCAGCAGAATATGTTGTCGCTGCGGGTGCAACACCTCCACGAGAGATGCCCGTTCCGATTGAAGAGGCTGTCAGGGCACCTGTGGTTGTTGGAGTTCCAGTGAAAGGTGTATACAGCCTGGAACTGTTGTAAGTTCGAAGTGGCGGCGCTGAAGCCGATATATTTGCAGACGGCAGTGGCGAGTCAAGGATTGTTTTTGGATCTTGTTGGTGTTTGCTTGGAGAAGCAGTCACGAAAGGCAGTGAGCTCAATAGGCTCAATAGAATGGCACTCTTCCATGTCATCTTTGCTGAAGGTTGGAACTCAATTCAAGACAGGGGAAGTGCTTCTTATCACTGATCATCAAATCATTGAGTTAGTTGTAGTATGCAAAAGCCGCCGGATAGGTACGGACCTTGTGTAGAGTATATATAGTGTTCAGTCAATATCAGCACATAAATTATCACCGGCCAAGACAATTCAAAGTCTGGGGTCTTTGTTTTTGATGTAAGAAAACCGCATAATGGTGAAGACACCATATTCAGGGCTAAAATGTGGGCAGCTTTGAACGGGGATGAATTCCGAGTGGTGAAATTGCCACATGGTAATGTTAAGGTTCTTTGGTGTAATTTTAATGGCAATTTATTCGTCTCGGAGGGGGCGTTGTCTGTGTTGTCTGTACACTTGGCTGATTGAATAGTTGCAAGACACTGCAATTCACTCTAAGAGAACAACCCGGGATGCTTCGGCAACAGATGACGTCGGAGTAAGCTTCCCCTGCTAACATTCCATGGACCTGAACAGACTAAAGTACAATTGGAGATATCTGCGGGGGTGGAAATCGAATCCGGCCGGACGCTGCCGGATGGCTTTTCAAGGAACAAGGGGAAATGCTATAGGAAACTCAGGTAAATTATCAGCATATTAAATATATAAGAATGAAATGGTCGAGTTTTGTAGAAACAGAATTGCTCAGCCGACGGAATCTAAGGAGAGGGGATCTTTCCCATATAGATAGTCCCGAAAACGCAATATCAGAGTGCAAAATGCCCGAATAGTTCATCAACCTAACCCTATAAGCACCCGACTTCACTGCGTCCGCCAGCCACCCTCTCCCGAAAAGTAACCATAAGTGTCACAATGGGGCACATTGGCAGTGATTCTCACACCATTAGACCAAACAATCTCCATAGTAGAGCCCATAATAGTCGCGGTGAAAGGCTCACAACTTTGCAGTGACTGGCGGATACTGTCGAGCTCTTTCCAAGGGATATTCACGACTGCAGGGGCCTGTTGAAATGGAGCCGCCGGTTGGCCTCGAGCATTCTTTTCGAATACCCATGGCTCACCATTAATCATGAATACACCAGCCAGAGAATTACCATTCTGACTAGTTAGGGATCCGATCCATTGAGGCATGACTGGATGGTTAGTGGGCAAGTCGGCAATCCTTCTAGAAATAGGCACTTACTGCACTTTTAGGGAATCTTGAGAGCTGTGAGAAGGAGGAAGTGGGGAAAGAAGTTGGGGAGGATTTGCTTCTTTTGTGTGACATTTACGTGTCTGTTTAGAAGAAGCAAAGATGAAGGATTTGCCGTGTAGCCAAGCCGCGGGTGCCTCATTTACCGCTATATTCGTGTGTATCCAGCCATAAAGGGATGTTCCACCACAGCTTCAACTTTGTTTCTTCACCGCTCGTTCTGGTTCTCTCGTTGTGTGGCAGCGCTTATGCAGCTTGTTAAGGTCTATGTTATATGTGAGCATTACCGAAAGGTTAAGCTGAAAAGGGTGGATTCTTTAACCGAGCGTAAGAGCAAATCACATTAAACAATTAATCCCGTGTCGAGAAGCACGAAGAGCCTAGCACCTTGACTTTACAGGAATCTGACCCCTCACAAGCTATATCCGACGCAAAGTGGATCGGCAAGTGTTCCCGCAACGAGTCTCCGCATTTAAATAGGGCTTTATGTACATGTTCTATGCTTAGCACTATCACACAGGTAGGCATGGGGGGACTATCGTCTAGTTACTGGGTGCATTGTGCAATATTCAATAAATCATGTAGAGAACCGCATTGGGCAGATACTGCAGTCATTGTACCATGCAGGCTAGACGGCTCGCATAGGTCCGTGTAATCGATTAGAAGCCTCGAACAACCAGACTGGTGGTGATATGAAAACTGGGAAATGAATTATATTAACGACCTATCTAGGCATATTGTAGGTGTACATAAGCAAGTAGGCTAATATAGACCCAAGGAAATAGTGGGGCATATATCTTCACTTCGTGTATATTTTTCTTCTTCGGGGGAGTTTATCTGCGTAGATCATAAGCAGCCTTATATCAAGTTAACGACGTCCATGCATTACTGCGCTACTACGCCTAAGAGGCTTTGGGAGTGACCTATGAAAACTCACATATGCCTGCAGACAGTTGGCCTTGGGCATCGAGGCAAGCATTTGAAGTAGCCTGGGCCCAGCGACGATCTGCGTCACCGCTGTTATGTACGGAGTATCAGAATATCAAAATATCACAATTCCTTGTTGTGAATAGGAAGCCTACACAGGCATGGAGTCCCTACTCAAAGGCGAAAGTATGGATCTTCTCTGTATGCACTAATACTAACAATTTCAATATTCAATATAACTGTGCTCAAAAATCATGCATTTCAAAAGGCACATCGCGGAAATGAATAGAAATTCGGCGTTGGTCCGATGTAATGTATTCTCGGCAACATCGCCGATCCAAAGCGGGGAAATTCCAGAATGACGATATCACAGGAGGATTGATATAGATAACACCATTTTCAATTGTCTTTCTCTCTATCTAAGTCCCTTACATTACCAAATTAACAGCCATGGCCCACCTCCAAGCATCGAATCTATTCTCAGTCAAAGACCGGGTGGTCGTGATCACCGGAGGCGGAAGTGGTAAGAACGAAATCATCACATCCCAAAGATACAAACAATGTACATAAAATCTAATAGAAACAAAGGTCTCGGACGTATCATGACCAAAGCCCTAGATGCCAACGGAGTCTCTAAGATCTTCATCCTCGGCCGACGCGAGGATGCACTCCAAGAAACCGCCTCGCAGGCCATAAACGGCACCGTCATCCCAATCCAATGCGACATCACCTCAAAGGAATCCCTCGAGGCAGCTTACAAAGCTGTCGGAGCTCAAACAACACACGTTGATCTCCTAATCGCCAACAGCGGCGTAATGGGTCCGCTCATGAAACCCCCGCAACCCGCAAAAGATGGCTCCCTCCCGCCTCTATCACAAGTCCGCGATGAACTCTTCAATATCCCCATGGAGGAATTTAACAACGTGCTGAATGTCAATGTTACCGGATCGTATTACACGGTGCTGGCATTCTTGCCTCTGCTTGAGGCGGCGAATAAGAGACGTCCTGCGCCGCAGGAGGATGTTCTTGCTGCCCCGACTGCACAAGTTATTATCACTAGCTCGATTGCTGGATTTAGTCGCAAAGTGCCGTTTAGCTTTGCGTATAACTCCTCCAAGGCTGCTACAACACATCTGATTAAGACGCTTTCGACTTCGTTTGCTGATTACGGTATTCGGGTCAATGGCCTCTCGCCTGGTCTTTACTACTCAGATATGGCCAATCATATCTTCCAGGCTTCGGGTATTCAGGGTCGGGCTATTTCGGATGGCTCGTTCCCCAAGGAAATGATTCCTGCTACTCGTGGTGGTAGTGAGGAGGATATTGCGGGTTTGATCGTTTGGCTGGCTAGTAACTCGGGTGGTTATATCAATGGTAATGTCTTGGTTACTGATGGTGGCCGAATTTCTGTTGCGCCTGCTGTCTACTGAGGGGTGTTTCGGTCGGGCTAAGTGCAGTTTTGGTATACATAGACTATACAGATTGAACTTCAATGAAAATAGAAATATGTAGATTGCTTGATTCGCAAATATCGATGTTCAATCGCTCATGAGTGCAAGGCAAATAAAACGCAGCAAACGAAAATGATCTTCATCGGGCCAATCTCATATAATAAACCCATGGTCCGGCTATTTAGTAAGTTGCTGTCAATCGCTGGACTAGATAATCGCCTGAAGTAATCGCCGAGTATTTCTTCTCCGCTTGCATTTCGTCCCCAAATGTTCCCGGGAGTGCTTCAATAAGTTTATCGCTGTTGGGGTTACAGAAATACGCTATGCTGTACCGAGCAGGATAATCCGACGCATCGTTCTCAGAGCCTTCGGGCACGGGAGGCTGAATTACCCGATGACGGGTACTCTTGATGGTGTCATTGGACCATCGAGCAAGCAGATCCCCGGCATTGACAACAATGGTATCAGCAATTGGAGTCGCATCCACAAAAGTTCCTTTGGGGCTGCGCACTTGCAGCCCACCGTGTCGATCCTGGAAAAGCAGAGTGATTGAACCGTAGTCGCTGTGCTCGCCGGCACGGACTTGGTTAGGGTTACTGTTGAAGACTTCTTTGCTAACGGCAGGATAGTGCAGCAGACGGAGATTATTGTCACCGGCATTGACAGAGTCGTCGAAGAAGTGCTCTGGCAAATTCATTCCCAATGCAATAGCCTGCATGATGTGCTTATGTAGATTCTTTCCCATTTCGAAGAATGACTGCATGGTTTCTTTGAAATGCTTTCCTTCGTCGTCGAGGTGATCGGGCCAGCGATTGGGAAGGCCATCGACTCCCTCACGACCAAGTTCCATGGTCTCTTTAATGTCCGGTGCGGACGCACGCAGAGTCTCGACTCCAGTTGTCTCGTCGACGGTGGTCAATTTCTCCCGCCCAATCGCGACGTAACCACGGTTCGACTGCGGGGTTGTCCAACCCAACGAATCCTTCTCGCTTTGGGGGCGGGCGAAGAAACGGGCGGATGACGCAAATACCCTGGACACAACGGATGGGGGAATGCCATGTGCTTTTAGGTAGAGGAAGCCGGATGTTTTGAAGGCTTTTGTTATGGAGAGCGCGACTGCATGTTTATCGGATGGGGTCCCTGTGAAGAATGGGCCAAAGTCGATCAGCTAGAACAGATCCCATTAGTCGTAGCTTGGAATAACATGAAGATAAAGCATACAGGTATCATCAAATCATCCTTATCTACGGCAGCAGACGCAGCATTGTCTGGGGATGTGTTGGAAGCCATTGCTTGCACGGCTCCTGGAAATTGGTATGAACCGTCAGGAGGAAACTAAGACAAGGACGAAAGTCTGTGAAGTGAGTTTCTGTCCGAATGCAAAGAGAAGATCTAAAGAAGAGGGGAAAGTCGGGGAAAAGGAAGATTATAGGTCAGCTGCATACATCAAAAAGATAAGCGCATGTGGGCAGATAAGCCATCAGATAAGCGTTGAAAGGTGACATCTACATTAGATTTGACTGTATGAATTGATATTTGTTCAATTAGCTGCTATCAGACAAACATTTTGTTTGATTGCTATATTTGGGCCTAGACTGACAGCGCAGATCAATCCACACCTTCCCCCACCCCTCCACAATGACCCTGCATTGTCAGCACGGTGTATGCCCTGACCAATCCTCGAGCCGTGATCTCAAAGCCAAAAATAGCGCTCACCCCGCTCATGCCACTCTAAACAGCAAGCAAAAAAATACTCAAACTAAATATGTTGCTCACATATGGTGATGAATGGCGATAAGACTCCCCCAAGAAACAACCGGTGCGATTTCACATCTTGCACCACAACAGTCGAACTAGGAAGCCATTTGGCATTTCTGTCCTCCACAAGCTTCGAGACCTCCCAATTCTTCCCGCTGTGAGTTCTTAGCTGAGTAGCTATTCCATTGACAGCGAGAACGGTAGCAGGAGCAACAACCCTATATGGGTCCTCCATAGACTTCACAAACGCAATGGAGTCCGGAAATGCAGCAGCCAGGAGGTTCCCATCTGCGTCGAGCGACAGATTATCGATTGGATATCCCGTAGAGATTTTATCAACTTGAATCAGCTGGTCGCCAACTAATTTGTGGACAGTCACGATTCCAGTCACTGAATGAGCCACATAGTAAAGCCCGTTCTCTTGGATGATCCCGTTGGCAAAGTAAAACCCTTTGTTGGCAGCGACATGGCACTTCCCTGTATCAGAGCGACAATAGGTGAGACTTCCTCCGCCAATCAACATATCCAACTCTGCGATAGTGCTAACCTTGGCGTTGCGGTCATTGGTAACCACGAACCCCAGACCATCCTTGTCAACGGCCAAGTTGTTAGGCGAGATGATTGCGTCGCTGGCGATGGTTTTGACATACTCAAGTGTCTCTGAGGCACCATCCAAATCAAATATCTCAACTGTGGAATTCGCTCCAACAGCTCGGGCATCAAGGAACCCCCTGTTGTAGGATCAACTGGGGGTCTATGATTGATCAACCAGAATCGAAGTCTGCCTTCAATACTGCGCACGTCGAACCCATGGAGATCCAGATCGCCGAGATAACCACCGACTTTGAGCTTGTGGAGACCATACAGCCCGTCCGAGCCAGGTTGGTCAATATTCAACACTGCGATATGATCCGTGCGGGATCTCGCGGAGATGTTGAATTTACTGCCACCGGGACTCCATCCCTGTCTGGAGTCTACAGTATTGCACGCTGCGTACAGTTTTCGTCCTTGGCCGTCTAACCACATATCCTCACAACCTTCTAAGAGAGGATGCTGGAGGCGAGTACAGGTCCATGGGAAATTGTCAATAGGTTGGATCTCTCGGCCAATGCCAATTGTGAGGAAAATGATGTTGTGCACATAGGCTTTGTACAAAATTCCAATGACGAGCACAATCAGAGCCCATATCCCAGCACGCGGGCTGAGAATTCGAGTCATTGTGAAGGTGCTTGAGGAAGTGATGTTCTAGATTGGTACCCCATTTAGGCGGGGGCCAATACTTGAATACATGTGTTTACAGGTTTACAGGGTATTTTACCAGGAAATCATATGACTGTCATGGATGGATGCCCCTACCTACCTAAGTTATATACTCTTACTAAGCTGAACCCAGGTACCTACCTAAGTACTGACCGCTCACGACAAGCGACTTCACCTGATCCCTGCTCGCAACCGTCCTTCATAGAATGCCCCTTTTCACAACGTATGCGTCCATGCTCAATGCGAACATTGCGACCGATCGGTAAATCACCTACTCGGTATCCACGGAACGCTTAAAATGCAGCTATCGTGGAAGCCAGGATATTCTCTCTCCAATAGGCCTGTAAGAAGGTCAACAGCCCGTAGGACCAATAGGGGTCGTTTGGGAATCGCAGATGGACCTCAGCGATTTGTGTTCATTTCAGAACACCCTATGAGAGATTGTAAGACCTTACAATTTCCACCAGCCATCATTTAGCCGCCCTCCGGAGCACGCGTTAAACCAATCACTAATTACAAGGCACAAAGGCTCAGAACCTGATGGTATTGACCTATTCTTTGTCTTGTCTCTCAAGACTAATAGTAATAATCTACGGTTGTGGGCTAACCTGAAACTCATTCTCAAGTCAACATTTCCGAGGAAGCCAACCCATCCGTAGAGACGCCATTTGGGGTCTCGGGTGATGCATTGCCGACCAGGGCTGCTGATTCCCCCGACCCAGACAGCGATTCTAGGACAGCTGAATTGAAACTGCACCACTATAACAGCGAAGACCAAGGCCAATCCCCATGTTCATCTACATCGATAGACGACAGACGGCCACAATTAACTGAGGGAGACGACTTCTATGAATGGTCGAGTCAAGTCACTACTATAGACCCAAGTCCCGTGGCAGCTTTAGACCTCCCCAGCACTACTACATCTGTGCCACCGAGTGTACTATATAATAGTATTTACCAGCGGTTTGGACCTATCCTTAAGAGATGTTCGTTTATTCTGCTCCCAGCCGCTTATATCAATACCCACTAACAAGTCATAGACAATATGGAATTCTGCACAATCCCATTAACGTCCGACCTACAGATGAATCCGTTTCGATACCGCAGAACTATCGTCCCGGAACCTATGTTTCTGGTCCATGCAGTGATGGCTTTAGCGGGTCATCATGTTAAGAGTCCATCAACCGATGACCATCGCTACACAGCACTAAAACTCCTCCGCGAGAGCCTCAACGCATCCGGCAATGTGGTAGATGGCTCTTCTATGCTTGATGCGATTATGATCTTATTTTCCTTCGACGTTAGTTTGCACATTCGTGTTGCTCGTACCTAATCCAAGTTGATAATGAAAGTTAGGAAACTCAATCCACCCTTGGATATTGGAGTACACATCTAAAGGGAGCCTATGGCCTTATTGAAGCGTGCGGGGGAATCGAAGCATGGACCACGTCCGCTCGGGCAGACGCTCAAATAGGATTGCTGTTATGGTATGCAACTCCACCCTTTGTTAGGCGAACTCGTCCCGGCGCTTCCAGCTAAACTATTTAGGTGGGATGCCATCACCAGTCTCTTGTCCCGGGAAGACTGCGTGTTCCCATACGCATATGTCGAAGCCATCCTATCGAATACCGATAATCGGAATTGGAATTTCTTTGATCTCTGCGGGTGCCCACACAGTGTGGTTGCGTTGGTCATGCAAGTTGTGCGTCTGAGTGCCGAAAAACGCCAATCATTGTCCATGCGGTACGTGACCTTCGACATCACAGTGATTGCCCAAATCGAGCAAGCGCTCGAGTCCTGGTATCACATCTCCCCTGCCGCGCTGGCCTTTGGTAGCGAAGAGGATATTCAACAAGACCAAGATTGTATGCACTGCTCGGAGGCATGGAGACACGGCCTGCTGCTCTATATCTACCGCGTGTTCCGGTGGAAGCCGGGAAGCCCTATTCCAATGCACGTTGTCCGTTTGGCCCGGGTCATTGTGGACCATGTGGTCTCGTGTCGTGATGAGAGCATGGTCGCTCGGCAGGCGTTGCTCCCGCTCTTCTTCGCGGGCTGCGAACAACGCGATCGATCGGTACGGCAGAATATCGTGCAGTTCTGCTCGGTGTGGAATGACCGGACGCGTTATCAGATGTTTGGGAGCACCATTCCGTTGCTTGAAGAGGTATGGGCGGAGCAGGAGGCGAAGGGCTTTGAGAACGTGTGGTGGGGTCACGTCGTGGATCGAAAGCACACCGCGTCTTGTTATCCGTTACAAATGCAGCTTTGCTTTGGATGATCCAAATAAAAACACAAATAAATCTCGTTGTTCAGCGATCGCTCTAGTATATGTAGCCAATACGCATTTACTAAAGGTCTTGATTGAATTGTTTATCTGCCAGTCGACTAACAACTTGCCCGTCATTATCGGGACCGGATTGATATGTGCATATTTGACCTTAGCTCTTTCACATCTGAAAGTGTTGAAAACCTACAGTGGCGCTATGGTAATTCAGCATGAAAAAACCGGGAGGTATGAATAATTCAATGCAATGTAACAATGTAGATTTGTCTGACTATCAAAACACGGGAAAGGGAACATTCATGTTCCATGTCCCGGCCCGGGTTTTCTATACGAACCCCTAAAGCTTTGGGCATATTGGCGATGACTTCGAAATATAGTCCGTAACAATCAAAGGGGAGACATGGAATACGACGGCCCGAGTACGGTCTGGGTCTTATACACCTGCAGCTTCGGCACTGTCTCCCCGCCGCTCTATAGTAGCCTCTTGCATGAATGGGCTGTAGGATCTGATCTCTTTGCCCCATTGGAGGACCACAAAAGGAGTTACCACCAGAGCCAAAGACACAAATGCAAGCAGCGAGCTGGCCCACTGAAATCCAAGATTCGTGTACATAGCTGCTGCAGCCAGCGGGAGAAAAGCGATGGAGATGTTCTCGACAAAACCCACCGCCCCGAGAGCGCTCGCAGCATACTTGCTATACGCGTCGATGAGATAGTTAGCATTGCCAACGATGACCGCTGTCGTCCCAAACCCCACCATCGCCAGACCAACGGTGGGTGCCATCCAGTGTATAGAAGTGTACGATGTCCACCCATACACGAACATGCCGCCCGTGACACCAAAGAATCCACCAACGATCGATGCATGTAGCCGAGCCTCCGGGATTGGCGTGCCCGGTGCCTCGGTATTGCGAGTAGCAGATGCATAGTACCAGGGATTAGTTAAGATGCAAAATCCACCGCCCAGGAGTTCCCCGACTACAATCGCAATTTGGATATACCCGCATTGGACAGAATCCCACCCATAGAGCTCCTTGTATACCTGCTCGACGGACTGCGTAAAAAGATAGATCGTTCCCAAGCTGAAGGCAGCCCACACCGTCGCAACGAACACAACCCCTTCCGTAAATAGCATGTACAGAGGCCGTTGAACGCTCTGCAGGATACGCTGAGACAAGGCTACCCGTTCGGTCTTCTCGGTCGTGTACGCGTTCTTCCCTTCGCGGCGTAATTGTTTGGCCCTGACGCGCAGAATCGCCGGTCCGCGGCTCTCTGGCAGACCGAAGATCAGGATCGGAAATAGGGCAACGGTCCAGATCAGTTCGATGTAGCCAATCCAGCGCCATGACAGGAATTGCAGGATGGAAGAGCCAACAACCGGGCCCAGGCTTGTCGCTGCCAGATAAATGGTCACATACAGACAAATTGGGACACTCCGGGCTCGATCGCCGTGAAAGACATTTGATGTAATACCAGCAACAGCGTCGCTTATCAGCGGGACACACCCTCCGCTGAAGAATCGAACCACAATCAGGGTGGTAAAGTTCGGTGCCAGCCCTACAGGAATCAAAAAACAAATAAAGCAAAAATAGGTGGCGAGAAGGACGGGTCGAACGCCAAAATCCTCCATCACAGGAAACAGAAGAAGCGGACACAGCGCTGCTCCGATAGCCCAGGATGTGGTTAGCCAGTAGGAATTGGGGAAGGTCGCATCGGAAACATGAAATTCTTCCCCAATGGCCGTATGAGCCACCGTTAGGATGGTCCCATTCATCGAGCAGACAAAGCTCGCCAGCAAACCAATACCCGTGGCCTGCCATTTCTTCCAAAGTGACCAATTGTATGGATCTTTAGGGTCATCTTCTCCATCCCATGTGACAATCACGCTCTCTTGGGCGACGCATGGGCCTGTTTGTCATGATGAGTGGATTGATCTCAGTTCACAAATTTAAGGGCACGTTGTATACTAACCTTCTATCTGGGAGCCAGATACCGGGTACAAATCAATACCAAGCTCTTCTAGTGTGATCGGTACGTTTCCAAGGTCGACTGTAGAGCCATCTGCTTTCGATGCAATCTGTCGTCGCGAACAAACCAGGTGTAGCATCATGTTAGGGGTAGTGGCACGCGACAAGCTCTTCTAGTGCGAGGATTGAGGTTCCCCAAAGATGTTCAACTCCGTATAGTAGTGATATATTTGATTGTTGTGGTATTAATCAGGGTAAGGTAGGCAATATGATTATTTAACACTGTTGGATGGGAGTCTCAGAATAGCCAGAAATAAATATGGGAGCGTGTCCTTGGGGTATTCTCATCTCAAGATAGACCTTTCACATCATTTCCTTATTCTATGATTAGTTTAACCCGTAGATTAACTACATATTAACTACATACACAGATTAGGAATTCCACTAGTCCTAAAAAGGCAATTGTATCAATTAGGTAGCAGGCCCAAACTAGTAAGTCAAGTTGTACACCTAAACAGGAGTACGTAAACTATTATGTCGTCTGCAAGCAACTCAGCCACCAGCCTCTAGCTAGGACTCCTAGATTAATATCTAGATTGCTTGTAAATCTAAAGTGTCCACGAATGATCCTAATATCTATGTATAAGTTCAACGTGTAATGTCATCTCCGAGTCGAATGCAAAGTGTCGCGGATGTTGCCATTGAAAACAATGTTTCTCGATTGTCCATAGATTCTCGATTACGATAGATTAAAGTGATATAACCTTGGAGGCCTGTTCAACGATTTCCATATCAAATAAATATGCTCATTAAAATGACCAGGCCGAGAATTTGCCGAGGTCATCGGATAACATGACTAAGCGAATTATGCATTTTTGTGAACTAAGCACATCCTGAGGCCCAGGTGGGAAACTTCATGGCACCCACAGGCATAGTAAAAGCTACGCATATAGGAATGAGGTGACAGAGTGGTACATGTGCCCATGGGTATATATTCCGCTCAACACCCCAACTCCCAACGTACGTTGAGTCGAGTATGTACACAATCGCAAAGGTTGGGGAGCCCTTGGCCCACACGAAGATAGCTTCCAGACCTCGGGAGGTCCACCTCAACCTATTAATAAGCTCGATTGGGCAGCTCCAAAACATTCCATTGCATTTCTATTTCTCTTCCTTCAACTTCATTTCCAATATACATCATCTCTTCCTTTTTCCTTGAATACATTTCCTAACCGCCAAAATGACTTACACTGCCATTGTTATGTACCCCAACGACGCCGACATTAAGTTCGACGAGTCCTACTACATCAAAACTCACATGCCACTTGTCGAAAGCACCTGGAAGAGCTACGGCCTGATCAGCTGGCGTGTCACCAAGTTCCCCACTGCGCTCGATGGCTCCCGATCTCAGTTTTTGATCATGGCCACCCTCGAGTGGGAGAGCGAGGAAGCCGTGCAGGCTGCTCTGAAGGACCCTGGCAGTGCGGGGGTGTTTGCCGATATCCCCAACTTCACCAACGCGAAGCCTGTCACTTTGGCTGGTTCTCAGCTGTGATCGGTCGTCGAGAGTGTATGTGTAATCTTATACTGATGAGTGTTTGGATGCTGAAATTAATGTACAGCGACTATTCAATGCATGTTACCAATGAATCAATGAGATTTGGATTATAACGGCCGACACTTTGAAGGGACTTGGCATTTCTAATGAGAAACTGTGTATATCTTCTTCAAATTGCAATCCTTTACAAAAAAATACGTAACATCAAAAGACGAGCAGACTTATCTGAGATAAAGAAATTGTAACATCGCCTAGGGGAATCCTTTGTCGGGTGGAGAGGGGCATCCCCGCTTCACAGGTCTTATCTATGTTGCATGTACTCCGTACGGAGTACATATTGATCCCCTCACTTGGCTATAACCCCTGTCTCGACTGTTCCTTTCTTCCTTTTCTCTTGCAATTAATTCTATTCCAATCCGCAAACTCCAAACATGTCTCGTCCCCTAGTAGTCGATGTTCACACCCATGTCTACCCTCCATCATACATGGCGATGCTCCGCGCTCGCAAAACAGTCCCCTACATTCACGACCCAGCGAGCGGAGAGCCGCGCCTGATAATCCTCTCATCAGATGATGACCCATCAATTCCAATCGACGAGCGCGGCCGTCCCGTCGACACATCCTACTCCGACATCAACGTCAAACTAACCTTCATGCAACAGCACGGCATCGACTGCAGCGTGATCTCTCTCGCAAATCCCTGGCTGGACTTCCTCGATCCCGCCGAAGCCCAACAATGGGCCGAGCGCATCAACAACGATCTAGAGGAAACCTGTGCCCAGAACAATAAATCCTCTAATCCGGACAACACTCTTCCTCTGCAGGGGAGATCGACTTTATTTGCATTTGCGACTTTGCCGCTGAGCGCTCCTAGTGCGGATATCATCGTTAATGAAATTAAGAGACTTAAGACCCTGCCTCATATCCGTGGTGTGATTATGGGGACTTCAGGATTGGGAAATGGTCTCGATGATGAACAGCTCGGTCCGGTTTGGGCTGCGTTGGAGGAAACGCAGTTCCTTCTCTTCTTGCATCCTCATTATGGTCTACCTGATGAGGCGTTTGGTGGTGCTGAGGTGACAAAGCGTTACGGTCATGTCCTCCCCCTGGCTCTTGGTTTCCCGCTTGAGACGACTATTGCGGTTACCCGCATGCTACTGTCTCGTGTCTTTGACAAATTCCCGCAGCTGCAGATCTTGCTGGCGCATTCCGGTGGCACTTTGCCGTTTTTGGCGGGGCGTATCGAGAGCTGTATTATGCATGAACGGAAGTTTGTGGAGAATGGTGGTGATGTTCCTGGTCCGCAGAGGAGTATTTGGGAGGTTTTGAAGACGAATATCTTCCTTGATGCTGTCGTTTATGGGACTGCCGGGCTTAAGGCTGCTGTTGCTGCTGGGGGAGGTACTGATCGTCTTATGTTTGGTACGTTTTCTAGTTCTATTGTTGATATGATTGGCACTGCATCAAGCTTATATATTTCCCAGGTACCGATCATCCATTCTTCCCGCCTCTGAATGAAGGTGAGAAAGAATGGCTCAGTGTGACAACCAATTACAAGGCTATTGATGCGACTTTCGAGGGTGAAACAGAGGCTGTGGCTGCTGTTTTGGGTGGCAATGCTGCTCGTATTTTGAAACTCGAATAATCACATATACTATCTAGCATAAATATCGTTATACTGGTCTGCAGATATAATTCACATCAATAACAACTGGGGTATAGGTAGTAAAGGGGAACAGATATAAAATAATATAGTACCATAAGCACAAATTCCATGATTCGGGGCGTTAGGTTGGAGCAAGCACAGTTCTCAACACATCCCAACCGACAAGCCTCCACAGCTCCTGTGTAAGCCAATCCGAAAACTTCTGCTGATCCACCTGTTGACTATCAAGTACCTGAAAAGGCGGAGTATGCGGACGCTGCAGACCCTCCCGAAATAAACGATCATCAGGTCCAAATACAGCCCGGAGGAGAGTCTTTTGCAGACGGTCTTTTGCATTTGCGACGAACTGACGAGGAGTCGATACCTCGAGAGATGATTGAAAGGATTCAGCATTAAGCATTCTATCCAGCAGCCAAACGAGATACCTGGCTTCCAGTTGTGCCTCCTTTGGCATAATACCTTCGTCGGTCATCGCTTCCAATCCATCTGGGAATGTCATCCCGGGACAGATGCCCATTGGCAGTCGCAGGTCATGGAAAACGTGGAGAGCTAGCATTTTTCCCATACGATCGACGACAAGGAAGAGAAATCCTTCCATTACTTCTTGGTCTTCAGGACGAGTTAGATTGAGGGAGAGTGCCATCGTGCAGAGCAGATCTGCGAGGTGAGAGGCTATCTCATTCTTGGCAGGTGAGCTCTTCCCTTTCGTAAGTTTGTTTTGTTCATCAGTCCCGGTAATTGGCTTCGAGTGCCTGCTCGATTTGGTTTTGATAGCTGGGTTTTGCTTGGATATTGCAGTACAATATAGAGTGAGTGCTGTCGTGGTTGATTCAAACAGACCTACTAGGTAGTAGATGACCTGACCTTGGTGCTGCATGCCATTCTCCGCTCCGGCTATTTTGTGCAATGCTTTGTGCGTGAGATGGAAAGCAACTGTCGCGCCGTTCATAACAGCATCTGTATCCGGCATATTGGCCTGCTCGGTTCGGGAAGGTTTCTGCTCCGTCATACTGATCTCGTTCTGGATGGTTTGGATTAGTCTCTGCTCTGCAGATTTGCAGAGGATAACTGCATCCATGGCCAGGGAATTAGTCTCAAAGCTGTTGTTTGCCCTTCTTTGGAGGGCTTGCTGGACGGTATACAGCTGTCTGTTGAGACATAAGACTGTAATAGCATTAGTTACCATGATGACTGGCTTGTGAAACGGGAACTAATTACCATCTTCTTCTCCTGAATCATTATCATCCATCAATAGGATGCTTTTCTGCATGTTTTTCGGTAGTTTTGTGCGTTTCCTAGCCATATTCGAACCATTCGCATTCTTAGCAACCGCAGGTGCCTTTCGTTTGTTCGCCGGCACTATCTCATTTTCATTTCCAATAACTTTGGCATGCAGTTTGGCAAGAAGGCCCTCAATACGCTGGTTAAGCTCATGGACTTGATCTTGTAGCTTGCTCTGCCCTGCCTCGCACCGTTCATACGCTTGTTGCCAGAAGGAGACGCTGTCGAAGAACTTGTCCGTTGTAACACCTTGGTCTAAATCTTTGGTTTTTTTGATAAACCTTCGAATCTGCAAAATGTATTCTAGAATATATAGTCAATAATAAAATGGTCTGACTGTAGAAACTGCATGTTCGCCTGACCTTTCACACTTTGGCCTGGAGGTTTTCCCTTGACAACAGCCAATGCTAGGGCTAATTGAGGCTTGGTTGGAGGTTTGAGGCCAGATTGAGACAGCGAAGTAGTTTTCATATTGTCAATGGACTCGAATGGGTCATGGCTTGAGATAAAAAGGTTGCCATCTATTGATAGACAGCAGAAACTCTAGGATGTACACGTGCCCAGGTTATATATATCTCCCTCGATCCCTCAATCCTACCACAATAATCAAAAGATTTTTGTTCAAAAAAACGGTGAGACGAAAGCCAGATAAAGCTACGTACAAAATGGTTTATTTCGTCAATTTATTATAGTAAATGCTAGCTTTCCTTATGATTTTGTAATTGCGATCCTATAGTATACCAGTTGGCGGCCTGAGGCGAAACAGACCCACCGCCCAAGCTCCGAACTTGAACATACAAATTTCAATCTCAACAACCTCACTTTCAAGAGCTCGAACTTAGGGTTATTTCCCCCTCGGGACCATCACTGTGCTCTGTATTACCCTACACAGTCATCCAACAACCACAGAGTTGAAAACCGCAACATCAAACCTCCACTTTATCTCCGCAAACCTCAGGCGACATCCAGTCGCATAAACCACAAAGATGCCAAACGACGATCTCAAGGCGCATGCCGCCTCAAACCAAGATTTCTACGCTTTGCTAGACATCCAACCAGCAGCCACCGAAACCGAAATCCGCCGCGCATACCGACGCACCGCACTAAAGTATCACCCAGACAAGATCAAAAACCCCACCGCAGCAGACATCGACAAATTCCATTTCCTCCAGATTGCCTACGATGTACTTTCCGACACATCAGTGCGACAGCTGTACGACAATGCGCGGGAAGCGCGACAGCGCAAACAGCGCGAGCGGGACATGATGGGAGCGGCGAAACGAAAGATGCGCGAAGACCTAGAAGCGCGGGAGAGGGCAGGTGCGGCCGAAATGGGTGGCGCCGGTGCTAAACAGGGTGTCAAGAGATCGTGGGCGGCAGACGGAGACGAGGATGCGGAAGAGAAGCTGCAGCGGGAGATTGACAGGATTGCGGAGGATGGACGGCGGAGACGACGCGAGGCCGAGGATAAGGTCAAAAAGGAGCTTGAGGAGGAAAACAAGAAGATTCAGCAGCAGGAAGAGGAGGCTCGAATGGCGGCAGACCGGAGTAGCCAGCGCGTGGACCGCTCGAAGGAGGGTGGAGGCGCGCAGGTCCCTGAGCTCGAGCGTGCGGTGAAAGTACGCTGGGTTCGGGAGGGCCGGGGGCTGGAACTTGATATTGAGCAGCTCGCGGTGCTGTTCAAGCCTTTCGGGAAGATTGAGAATACATTTGCGCTCAAGGATAAACGTCAACGGATCGGGGAGAAGAAGGAGAAGAAGACTGTTGCCACGGGTGTGGTGGTTTTCACGTCTATTGTGAGCGCTCACACTGCCGTTCTCGATAGCGAGAAGAAACTTCGTCAACATGCTGGTCAAGATGGCGAATGGGGCCTCATCGAGTCTGTCTTTTGGGCCTCCGGCAGCCAACCTGACCTAGGCCCTGATACATCATCCAAGCCTGTTCAGGCTGAGCCCGCACCTGCACCACCGGCGCCCTCTACCGACACTTCCAGCAAGCCTCCTAAACCATCATTCAACTTCCAGAGCTTGAAAACAGCACCCCCATCCGACAAAGCGCCCTCGTTTGGTTCATTCGCTTCTGCATCTGCCGCGGCAGCTGCCCCGAGTGCAACGTCATTCAATACATCCAATAAGGCTCCAGCCGCGCCTAGTCTACAGGAAGTAATGATGATGCGGTTGAAGAACGCGCAGCGTGAGAAGGAGCGCAAAGCCCTCGAAGAACAACTGACACGAGAAGACGAGGCCGCAGACGCAGCAGAAGCAGCGGCAGCGGCAGCGAAAGGCACTTAATTCTCGCGCTTCAAGGAAGCTAGCTTCATTTCTGCATTTTCGAAAAGGTCCAGCCAAATTTTGCCACTGTATTTAGAATTTAAGAGATACCCTAGAACACGTTGTATTTGCAATGTTGAGTTGAATAGAGATACATGAGCTATTTACATCATATCATTTTGTGTTGTGTTATATTATACAGGAGTAGTGATTAGATTAGACACTTCGACGTCTAGTCTCGGCGTGCTTCCGCTTCCTCTTCCTCTTCCTCTAATTGCTCCAGAAACTCCCGTGCCCGTTCACCCTCTGCTTCAGGATTACGGGAAGCGGGTTTCTCCTCTTTGTCGCCGGAGATGAAATCTCTAAGCCAAGGCGGAACAAAAGCACGTACTCCAACCTCATTAGGCTGTTCGACTTCCGGGGCCCAGGATAGCTTGAAGTGGTGTTCATGAGGACGAGCAGGAGCCTCACCCATGAGCGCAACATCGGTCATAACTTCAAGACGACACAGCGCAAGTCCAATATTGCCAATGCCATGGAGGAACGTCCCCGCACTGCGGTTTCGGCGGGTAGTGACTCCGGCCTTAACAATATCCGCTTCACCAGAGGGTACACTCAGTTGGAAAGACGGATCATATGTGAGGGTATCAGGAGCACTTTGTCCATCCTGACCCAAATCATAAAGCTGAACGGGCAAAAGACGCTTTCGCGTAACTCCACGGTGATGGGTACGAATCGTCAATTCCTGGCCGACATAACAGCCCTTGCGGAAATCGATACCACGAGCCATATCCATATTACACTGCAAAGGCAAGGCCGATCCACTAATAACCTCCGCTTGGCCCTCTGCAACACCGTGCAGAAAGCGACGGACGGTATACGAATCCAGCTGGACCTCGGGCCCAGCGACCTGCGCCTCATCCGGGAAGTAAGTGCGGAGACCGTCCGCGCCGGGAGTGATAATGCGGGATCCGAAGCCCGGAGCACGCGTATCAATGCACCCGGCAATTTCAGAGGTAGGTGAGAAGGGCGAAGGCGATTCCGACTCTAGACTGTATGCAGCCCACCGTTGCGGCTCTGCGTGGTTCTTCCAGGAGGACCAGATTGTGCGCTCGCCTTCTTCTAGGGCCCGGAGCTTGAGCTTCGCACGCAGCTTGTGTTTCTTGAGATGTTTCAGTAGAACCGGGACCTGGTCCTTGTCTACCTCCACTAGCCAGCCTGAGTCGACACCCTGGGCCTCTGCGCCGGGGAGCGGGTAGATGAAGGCATCGTTCAGGACTCGGCCTTGCGAATTGAGGAATGCCGTATATGCGCCTGTGCGTCGAATGCTTCGGTTCGGGTCGTTGGCCACTAGCATGTTCTGGGTCATTAGGCCCTGGAGAAAGGTTGTGCTGTCGATACCGGTGATGGAGATTAGTCCGCGGTTCGTGAGTCGGCTGTACCCTGCGGTCGGCGGGAATGGAGCATTTTGGCTCTGTTCGGTACGCTGTATTGTGGTAGAGAATAGCCTGCGGCGGACCAGGCAGCGGCTACAGACCGAGGGGGTCGGGCGCATCATGGCTGAGTTGGTGTAGCGGAGCCAATGTGAGTTAATCTATTTCTTTACAAAGCGTCCGATGACGTTGGGCGGTGAAACGTGGCAGAAACAAAGATTAGTTATCATAGACTCAGGAACCATGTGCGACCTACTATTGCAATTCCAGATGCCACTTTGTAACTATCTATTATACGAGTACAATCCACTTGAAACATAAGAATAATTGGTTCCAATATTACACTATTGCTATGTATCGCACGACCGCCTGGTCAGGCGCCACTAAAAAGCCATCTTCGCAACCTCGTAATCAGCCGATCACGGGCCTACTTATTGCCCTTGGCCACTCCCTCCAAGAACCCAAGCAAGAACGCCTTGTTGCTCGGTGAGGAGACCTGCTGACCGCTGGCGTGTGCACCACCATCAGAGGGCGTGCCGTGACGAGAGATAGAATCCCCGCTGCTCGGACGATTGCGGGACGACATCGGGCTGACAAAGCCTGAGTATGCTGCCGGCTGCTGGTTGACAGCTCGGGGGTCGAAGGGGCTCGCAGAAACGGGCGATGGAGAGACAGGTGTCTTACTAAAGAGAGACAAAAGCGAGGCTTTCTGTTCAGCAGTTTGACTCGGTCGACGGTCGAAGTTGCCCTGTGGGGCCAGGCCCTGGGCATCAACTCCAGGCAAACTCAATTTGCGTTCAATAGCTTCTGCCTGAGGCGCTGTCGCCATCAATGCTTCATATCCGGGTTTTTCGGATCGACGTAGAATCTGCGGTTGGAAGTTCTTGATGGGCTCAGGCGCTTCGGGCATCTTCGCAGGCAGAACCTGGGTTGCTCGTGCAACTGGTCTCGACGAGGATACTTCCCGTTTGGCAGAATGAGGTCGCGATAGAATGGTAATGGGCGAAGATAGCTGCTGCGGCTGGGGGTGCTCTCGCCTGTTCGCATGGTTCTTTCGGTAAGCTGCAGTGTTTGACTTGTGCGGTTTGGCAAATTTATCAAATTGTGGCGTATTCAACGGTCCAGACACGGTAGCTGATGCTTGACCAGCACCAGCCTGGTGTGGGGGCTGGTTGTGGTGATCGCGAGGACGCTGAAGAATCTGCTTCTCTGAAGGCGTCGCAGAGGGTACAACAGGATTGCCCAACAATTCTGCTGGTTCGGAAACACGGGCAGTTTGGGGACCTTTTAGCAAACCCAAAAGACTATCCTGATGCTGAGACGTCTTACGGACGTGGGGAGAACCCTGGATGGGAGCCGCCAACATCGCTGGACCCGGACCCTTGGGGGTCTTGACCTTGAAGGCTTCTAAGAGTGCCAGGGAATGGCTTGTGAGCTTCGGGGGAGGCAATTTGCTCGCAGGCGGGACAACTGGGCCCCGAGTCTGAGATAACTGAGCGGATTCAGAGAACTCAGGGTCTCCTGTTCGTTGAAACGGCGCAGGCATATTGCTTGGGTTCAGAACATCAGGGGCCATAGGAGGCTGATTATGGTGCTGATATTGAGACATGGTGGTTTGAGGGAATTGCGGTATCGCGTGGGGTTTTGGATACCAATTATGCGCAGGAGTCGGGAATGCATTGCCAGAAAGAACCTGTGGGCCATTCTGGGAGTGCTGGATATGGGGTTGGGATGGAATAGTGTGGAATGGTGTCGAGTTCTGCCGCAT